GAAGAAGAGACATGGCAGAAACCTATTCAAGGGCGCGAGGAGTCTGCTTTCGTGTGCCGAAGTGATGCCACGTCAATAGCTTGTCATCCTACCGCAGGAACCTGTTTATCATTACCACCAGTGACCAGCAGCTGCGTCAGATTCGATTCGAGGAGGACATTAAGTTAGTTTTTTTAATAAGAGAGCCGAAGCCGGTACGGTGCTTCTTGCAACTTCGGGCATTGCCTACCATGGTAACCGCGGCCTGCAAATTTGACCTTTAGCGGCGACTTTAGCCGCAATTGAGTCGAGTCTCTTCCAATATGCGTTCCTGTCGGGCTAGTAGATCGACAGCAGCTCACTGTGCGAGAAACTGCAGGATCGGCATTCCCACTCGGAAGTAAGTGTTCAAGAGGCGCCAAGCAAGCGGAGTATCAACCATGATCAACAACAAGTGGGGAGAAAAGATGCAACTTTTGAAAGTGAGAGATAAGTTGCTTGCCACGGTCAAATGACGGCCGATTCGTGTGGGGAGTTATCGATCCCACGCCAGATGTCATTGCTGATGTCATTTGACGTGGTGGGTGGAGCGAACTTTCTATCCCGCTTGCCAAGCTTCAGATAGCCAAGCTTCTCCGTACCTGACAGCATCAAATCACCTGGAATGATTGCTCAGCATTTTCAATCTTTTAAGTGTTGCATGTAGATATGTAGTGTAGTTTCGTTTAGGTTTATATTTACTATGCTTTGTTATTAATTAGAAAGAAAAAAGTTACGATATTCATGAGGTACCTTTTTGTGAGGTCGCGTTGTATTAGTACATGCGATTGTATGAACAGAGGATCGCGGAAGGGGAGGAATGAAGCTGTGCCAGTGGGGTTGGCACTTGTATCATCATGTCAGTAATGAGAGGAAGTAGGTAGTATGTTCAATGTTCCGATTCATTTCATTTTCATGCTTGTTTGGCATCGAGTGCTCCCATGGCGGCCGCACATCGCACCGATTCTTGTGACGAGCTCCGGGCAACATCTCCGAGTTTTTGGAGATCGACAATGCCCTGTGCCTTTTGGATTCGTTGTTCGTCCAAGACATTCTGATGAACCGTCTTGACCCAGAGCTTGCGGAGCTTGTAAATGGCGGGGGAAATCCCGGATTCGATACCGCGAAAGCAGTGCGTCGCAGAATCCAGTTCGTGGAGTTGCCCATTGACTTGATGGAACGCCATCATGGACTCTCGGATGCCCGTCTTGATGTTGGAGATATCGGCGGCTTGGTTCCAGGCTTGCTGCATGTCACTGCGGGGCATGTGACGGTAGGCAATCGTCGTTCGTTCCACAAATCGAACCGACTTTTTTGCACTACTAATAGAGCGCTTGATGACCGTCTTTTTCTTGTGGACGAAACGGGCTTTCTTGCCAGTAGCGTTGCTGCTGTTGTTGGTAGTAGTAGTAGTTCTCACCTGGGCGGCGACCATGAAATCAGTTGGGAAACACATTATTGTTGTATTGTGTTGTAGTGTGATGTGATGTGATTTGCGTAATATCAAGATAATGAGAAAGATAGATTGATAGTTCGTAGTGTCAAAATCGAAGAAGGCTTGCAACGGAGCTGCGAGAGCGAATTGTGTGCCAAGAAAGAGGTCAAACGAGAATGTTGCATCACGGAATCCAACAAAAAGATTGATGATGCGCAGCAATTCGTTGACAGGGCAACGTGTCCGTCTGTGACAAGAATTCTTCAAAGTGGCCAATCAAACGACAGAGGCATCATTGGAACAGCTTGAACGTTCGTTGCTTTAACTGTGAGGTGTATTGAAGTTCTGAGGAAGGGCACTTCAGGGAACTGCCCTTTCTGACAAGTCTTTTACATTGTTGTCCGACATGACTTACGTGGCAACGTTAACCTTGAAGCAAGACGAATACGCATAAGTAGCTTACAAATGAACTTAACAAACAGAATTCTTGTCTAGTCACAAAGACCTTGAAGAAAGTCATTGAATGCCACAGAAACGTCATAAGAACACTAAATGTCCGACATCGTAAACTTGTTGCGGTATTGGGATTCGTTCCATTGCCGTCCTTCGACCGCACCGTAGAGCTCTCACCGTGCGGCAAGCGAGGGCTCCTGTGTCCAGTATCCTGCGAGGTTTGCTGTATCGGTGTGTCAGGTGGTCTGAGTTGCTTGTCGTGCTTTCCAAGTTCGCCGAGAGCCCTCCTTACTCAACAGTTAGTTCAACTAACTGTTGAAGCCAACGTCAACAACAACCAGTATTCGCCATAAGAGGGGATGAAAAGCGCTGGTTCAACAACAGTGGTCTGATGGCTTGGAGGAGGAAACTGGAATTATTGCAATCGCCCTCTGCAAAGCCCAGAGATCGTTACTGGACAGGCCCGTCACTCCTCATCCTAGCTAGCCTCCCGAGGTCACACCGTTGATGAACTTCAAACAGTGATCAAAGTACTGTGTGAATCGAGCCCAGTACCGTAGGGCAACACCACCGTATCAACTCTTACAGTGTACCACCAAGAGCGGCAGGCATTTATCTGATACTACAGAAGCTTGTGAGACCGAATGTTGCGATTAACAAGCACGCCGGAATCGAAAAGGGAGCAAAGATAGACTAGTCAGTCGGGTGATACTGGTGATGGCATGTATGTTGTGAGCGTTATACTAGTATCATTTATTAATGTATTTCTAATCTGGTGGCCTTGGTGGCAGCAATGATGGAGCTCATTTCCTTCCGAAACGTGCTGTGCACATTTGCGCTCATGTCCTCGTTGGTCCGACCGGTTGTGACAGTGCTGGCTTGAATGAATTTGCCAGCCCGGGATCGATGGCAACTCCGCCACAAGATGAGCTCGTCCGCAACACCATTGAATGCCGTTTGTACGCGTTGTCTCTGCTCCGGGCACACAATGTTCGGAATGAAAGTCTGCCTTAGATCCCTGGCACCAGGACGGACAATCCCAAAGAGGATGCGGACAACTTCCGGGAGCATTTCCGCAATGTTTTCATGGCGTGTTTCTTGTAGCTCGACAGACACAGCCGAATAATCCACACCCAACAGTGTGTCCAGCAATACCATGCAGGGTGCCTGGAATCCCGATGCGCCAGCGGTTGTGCCAGCATAGTGGGCTGTATTCTGCATCTGGACAAACTGTTGGGCATCCACCAGTTCCGGGGTCCCGTATGCCACCAGGGCGGCGGTGATGTTGCTTGTGGCCTCCCGAATAGACTGCAAGCTTTGGACGACTCGATCAATCGCTGCTGGAGTTGGCGGCGCGTGTTGTTGGTGGTGTTTCTTGACTTGATCCATCAGATTACCAATCGCTCCGTACATTGGAATGGCCATGAGCTCACTGTATGCAAACGCCCTCCAAAAGTTGGCTTCCGATTCTCTGGCAGTGCCCGTCAGCCAGTAGAAGCGGGGAGACATTGATCCTGCTTGGAGATTGCAAATCTTGTCAAATGTCAAGCCTTCATTAACAGCAGCGGACGACGGTGTCCATCTCCAATTACAAAAGAGCCAAGAATACACATTGAAAAACGGGGCCACACCCAGTCGCTTCGCGACAAACTCTACTGCGATCGATAGTTGAGAGGGCTCCGTCACAACATTGCCATGCGCATCCATCGGTTGCGTGGTTTCCACAGGTCCAGCAGTTGGGTCTCCCTGATGCCACGAATGGCGAAGGTAGACACAAGCACCAAGTACAAGTTTCAACTCTGACCGCCTCAAAGATTCCAATTCAGCCATCAAGTTCGAGACACGGTTGCTGGACAATCCTTCGACCATCCAGGCTCTATACTGATCCGCATTGCATCGGGCGTATTCTTGAGGCGACTGGTGCTCCGCCATGTTCACAATGGCACGCAGCAAGGGTGCACCAGCCAAAATATCGGGCGCATCCAGAGAGTCACCAAAGAGACCAGTATATTCATTGGCAATCTTCTGGTATAGCTCCCAAAATGAGGTCGTCGAGGACACGTCATTAGAAGGTGTGGAGGAGGCAAACGGTCGGGCTGGCAACTTCTTCAAAAGAGTCCGCCTGTTTGGTTTCCTTTGTCCTCGTGATGCAAACGGGCACAAGGAAAGAGGCGCCTGACCGTGTTTGCTGTGTGCTTTCATGATTCCAGCATTCGCTATAGGACACAATGATGACGGGGTTTTGCATCGCGCGCCTTTTGTCGGACTCTTTGCAAAGAACATGCACCCCAAGGCTACAGCAACTGACGAGAGGAGGAGGAAGGGAAGCAGACCCCCCCAACCATCATCATCCCAACAAGCGCCTTTGATACTGCTATTTTCGGCAAGTGCTCCTTCGAACGAGCAATTCTGGCAACCGTAGTTCTCAGGGATGATGCCATCCAAGGTGATGTTGGAGGCCAAAAAGATGGGGCCACTTTTCCGATCATTCAATGACACCCTCGCGGCTGCTACACCTTCGGCCACTGCAGTCATTGCTGCAACGAAATTCAAACAAAGGGAAGGAAACATGGTTTGCTTTGTTTGCTGTGTTTGGTCTCTTGGCACACAATCGATCGTTTGAGGTAAAAAATTATGGCGGTGTTTGCGCTGAAGGCTGAAGCTGGAAGGTAGTATCTTTGGCTTTCAAGTTGGTTTTGTGAGATAGATGCCCGGCAACCGAAAATGGGTTCACACTGTTTCTTGCTCCCCATAGTGCATTGATGTGGAATGTGGAAGCGTTGGTTGGAACATGCTTTCGCAAGGTAACACATTAAGGCTAATAGGTTTTAGCAACCAAGTCTTTGGAAGGTGGAGGGTGTACATTACTTAGTAGCACCGAGAAATCTAAAAACAGGTACAAAATGGACATAAAGATCTACAACAATCGATTGGCAGGCAATATCAGGTAGGCAATAGTTGTGGTGGCTGTTGTGGTAGTGTCGTAATCCTCTACTACCGGTACTGGTACTGGCTACTAGGAGTTAGGGGTACGTGGCCACTACTAGCTAGCTAGAACACGCTCGTGCACTCATAATAATATGATCATGCACTCAGGTTCGTCACCACTGTACCTGCAATCTACTGATGAGTACCTGGTACATGACAATGTAGCCAGCTAGCCTCGGAATGCCTTGTACGTTCACAGCCCTCTGGTACGCCACTCCACAGCGTACCGGTGTGCCTTCAAGTCAAGAGCACCATGTCTTGGAAATGAGACCTGGCGGGAGAAGGACTGATTACAGTACTGTACCTGGTACCGGTACTTGTACTGTACATGTATACTGACAGTCGAATCGAATGAGTAGAATGAATCAATCGGTTGACATGGGGACCCTTGCAAGAGTGCGTCCAAAGGTTGTTATCCAAGTCCTTTCCCCAGGTTTCCAGTATGATAACCTTTCTTTCGCCAATGGGAGGTGAAGGCCCTCGTGGCCTCCCTGGAGGCTGGAGGGAAAAGGGGGACCGAGGTGGCTTGGATGGCACGCAGATGCGACAACTCCATCAGATCCTTCAGCAGAATCAAGGTGCCGTTGATGGAGCGGCGGCGGAAGGCGCAGGAACAGGTGGGGTGCCTCTTGCTGTCGATGGAGACGGGCAGCAGGAATCTCAGTTGTCTGATATGACAGGTGATGCCATTCCTTCGAATGAAGCTACTGTGGATGGCGGCGGTGGCGGTGCTGATCCTCGTGTCACCGTGCAGGCGGAGGGGAAATGAAGTGTCTTCCACCCGAGCGGACACAGGTGCCGATCACCACCGTGAGCAAGCTCAGTAGGTTAGCTATTTTGCAAGACCAGGTGGACACCACGTGTGGAACACGGTGAGAGATGGGCATTTAAGCGGTGAATGGCGTGGAGGATGGCATCGGAGTCCAGCGGACTATGTTGGGTCAGGATCAGCAGCAGAACGGGGGGGGGTTCCTGAGGCCGCTAAGTGATTGGACGGGCAGGACTGGCGTGGAGGGTGGGATTGAGGTTGATTGTTGACTGCTCAGAGATGGGAGCATGAGACTAGGTGTGTGCTCGCCGGATTACCATCCTAATGATCGCTTTGATTTTATTTACACGAGATCCATGGGTCAACCCCCAAGGTTTTCTCCAGATTTGGTCAAAAGTCCTCAAAAGACAACACAAATATGGGTGGGGGTAACACATTGGAGACTATTTTCCAACTCTTTTACATCTAAAAGGAACAGCCGCAGAGTTGGTTCACATAACAACCTGAAGTGCCGTCGCTGTGGGAGCAGCTCCGAGGGCCATAGTGCAGCAGGTCAAATTCAAAATTTCGCTTCTTGAGGAATATCAACCTGCACTGCAGTGAAGTCAGCCTCTTCACAATCAATGAGAATAGGTGCTCCGAATAGCGTCTTGTTGTCTTGTTGTCCTGCGGAAGCTGCTCTGCCGACGGATGCAACTCGACACGATAGACTGTAGTAGCGGTAGCGACTGTAGCTGATCCGCCCTGTTGCTGATCTTGTTCTTGTTGCCGCAGTGCATGATAGCGGTAGCTTCGGTTGTTCGTCTGTCCTCGTAAATTCCACGCTGGAAACCTTGTCGAACAGCGATCGCTACTACTAGCAAGCTACTAGCAAGTCGCTACCGCTACGACTAACAACAAGGAGGTCGTCGACGAGACTGCGGTCGTCGATAGCAGCGAAATAGTGGACAACCATCACTAGCAGATCGGCCCCAGCATGAGCCAGACAACCTTTCAACACCAAACCGAGTTGCTCTATGTTCGTCTTAATTATTAAGAGGTAATAGAAGCGAGCGGAACGGCTTATTTGGTTACCCCCATCAATGGTTGATGTGTCCAAACGGCGCACTTTGACCAAAAGAGGAAATTTTATACATAGTGACAGTACTGGTACTACTCTTAACCCCCCCTTAAAACTATATATGGATGCGTTAAGGAGCGAGGGGGGCTACCGGTAAGCTACGGGCTGCAGTGGTGGATACCGGTACCGGTACATAGTCTAGTGACAGTCGGCCGATGATTCAATCGAATGAGTCCTCAATCAATCCGTTGACATTGAGGATCCTTGCAAGGGTGCGTCCAGAGGTTTGGTATCCAAGTCCTTTCCCCAGTGTCCAGGAGCACCACAACAGAACAACAAACACCAACAAGAATGAAAGGCTCCACTCCCACAAGGACCGAAGACATGTGCGCCATCTCATTGCAGAAACTCTTTGGGATATATCAAGCGTGGCAATGCTGAAGCAAACGATGTGCTATGTGCACGCTACATGTGTTTGTATTCCGTCACAATTTGCCTACTATTTTTATGTTCTGTGTAATAAATAAATAAATATGGGAATCGAATCACCAGACTGACATCCCAAACACCAACAGACGCTCCGAAGAAGGGTAATCTTCGTCGCAAGTCAAATCGATCGTTTGTGGAGTATCCGAAGGTATCCGTCCTGATTTTTCTTGTTTCTTTTCTTTCTCTTTTCTTTTCTTCTTTTCTTTTCTTTTCTTTTTTCTTTTCTTCAGTATTATTTCATCGTCGTACATGCAAAAGACAGCCGCCGACCATTCTTGAACGCATCGATGACCGAGCAAAGATCGGTCCAGAACGAGTTGCTTTGCTGTCGTAGGCAACAGAATATCACAAGTGTTTTCATCCTATCAGCGTGTCCCTGGAAAGAACAACCAACCGGACTGTCAGGGTTTCGCACACCATTGGAATTTCAAACAAAAAAAAGGTAAATTTGTACATGTACTTACACTGTTTCAGCTGGATTTTACAAAAGCAAGGCAGCTCCCATGGCATTGGCAAAGGCAAGAAGCGTGACAAAGTTAGCGGCAGCAGAAGATTCGTCGGTACCCGCAAGCTCGAATTCGGCTTGGAAACTGCCTTGTCCTTCTTCGGTCTCGAGGTCACGGCTCCTGATGTGGACCAATTTACGACGAGTACCGAATTGCAAGACGGCTGTGCCACTGGCTTCCACTTCAGATTTGCCAGCGGGGTCGTCGTTGTCCGGGTAGAAATCCGATTTGAGCAAGACATCAACCTTGCAGCAATAAACAGGGGCTCCGACGGTCTGTGGGTTGCCACCTTGGGGGTTGCAGACTGTCGCGATGGCCGCAGTCTGGTCATCTCCTCCGGATATGACGGTCTGTCCAGTGCCACTTCCGGCAGCTGCAGGTCCACTGATAGCCGCGAACTGCAAGAGCTCCACGGAGGCAACCGTGGTGACGCCCGCTGGGTTGGCGGCGGAAAGAGGGTTGCCGTTCGCGTCAGTGCCGCTGGTGAATTTAGGACAGATACAAATGGGGATGGCATCCAGCTGGTTGTAGGGAGGACCGAGCTGGCCTTGTCCGGGACAACCGTAGGCATCGATTTCGTAGTCAACATTTTCACCATCGGCCGTAGGGTTCATCGCCAGTGTGTTGAAACTCGCAACAGTGAACTCGCCCTGCAAGTCGACAACGATCGTAATTCCGACTTCAAGGAAGGTGATTATTTGACCTGGCTGATTTGAGGTGGCACTGTCCGTGAGTCCGAACAGGAGACAAAACTTCACCGTGGCGCCTAGACTCGGATCACCCGCGTCAGGGATGTAAACGTTGCCATTACTGTCCACCGAGGGGTCAAGCGCAAATACGAAGGTGGATTGATCTGGGCCACTTTGCGCAAAAGGTGAGAAGGCTTGTTGTTGCAAAAAGCCAGCAGTGGTATCGATGGCGCCGCCGTTAGTTTTGCACGTTTCAACAGCCGAACCTGTTGGCGAAGCAGTTGCAGTATAAATCTCCAAGGCGCTAGAATGGAAAGCACATGTCAGATATCTCGCTCGCTCGCTCTCCGTGCTCCAAAGCTGCTCAAAACAACTTACGCTCCTCCGGCTGCGGCGCCGTGTTCAAATGTCACCGTGAAGAGTCCAGAGTCGACGTCGTAAGCAAGGCCGTGGTATTGGATGTCCCAAAGGCTCTCGAGCTGCTGGTCACGGCGATGTTCGATCTCCTGATTATAATACCGCAGGGCAACGAGAGCATGTTAGGCAGAGGCGGCATGGGCACATCACCACCGCGCACGACGGCACAAACGATTACTCACAGAGTTTCCAAGGGCGGCGGGCAAGAGAGCGAGAAGGGGAAGGAGAAACTTCATTTTGGCTTTCAGCGGAATTGGTTTCGAGTTGTTTGCTTTTTGAGTGCTGCGAAGTGGATTTTATGAGAAGGGAAACTGATCCAGACCTGGGCTCTCAAATTGATCCCAAAGCTCAAGAATCGAATCCTCTTTGCCGTCAGCTATTCTACCAGAGTGAACGGAGCGTGCTACGAAGCATTACGGCATAGAATAGACTACCAGATTGAACGGATCTCTACACCGTGAAGCGAAGTGATCGAAGGCTTCCCATCAGCAATACCTCGAGCATCCGAGGCTCGGTTGCCTGGCACCTACCAACACTTGTACGTATAGGGCACATCATCCAACCCACGAGAATCGAATCAACTTCCTCTTCTGCCGGCCTTGGCACACCTAGCAACACTTGTATAGCGAACATCATGCAACCCACGAGAATCGAATCAACTCTCTCTTCTCCCGGTCTACCGGTAGCCATAGAATTCTTTATTCACGATTATCCGCGTGCATCTCAGCGCTGCACTTTGTCAAGGCCACGCTTGTTTGATTGCTTTGGCTACGACGTGATCTCTCTTTGCCATACTGCAAACCGGTTCATATGCGTGAATCAGCGTGAACCCATTTTGGATTGCTATGGAAACAACTTGCTCTATCTTTGCCATACTCCAAAAAGCGTTCTGTTTGCTAATAATAGCACTCCCACCTGACACCACCCACCCAAATGTACAGCTGAGCGAGTGGTACCGTACGGTACCGGTATCACTATACCTGCTGATTTCTAGCTCTTCTAAAGGATTCAGTCCTTCTTGAGTGGTCAAAGTTTTCATTCTCGAGCTGAAACAGGTGAAGTACACTTATGGGGACTATAGAAATTTTAGTAGAGGTATACCTTGAACAGGCAAAACGAATACTCGAGTACTAGCTACCGGTAGTAGATCGGAGTTGCCAAAAGCTCAAAGATCCATGGTTGACGGAAAGATCCTTCGTATCTCACCATTCGGCTTCTCAACGAAGATCGCTAGACTGTTAACCATGCAGTTTACATACCGTACCGTACCGTACCGTACCGCTACAAGAGAACTCGGGTCTTTGATAATCCTAAGATAGGCCATCTGAGATTTGAAAGAGGTGTCAAGACGTCAAGACCGTGACAACCACGGCTCATCTCATCATTAAACTCAACAGCGAAAAGGTGGCTGAGCGCGATCGCAGAGCTTTCGGGCGTGCATCCGCTACTAGCTAGTCTTATTATAAAATGCAGCAAAAAGTGAGAATGCTAAAATGAAATCTGGATCCTACAAAACGAACTTGGGGGGATCCAAGGCGATATCACTCGCAACCAACAAACCACCATTATGCGAGCCCGACAGCCAACTAGAACGATCTGACCTGCAACAAGGTTCTTTCATTCACACACCATCTCACCGATAATAACGAGGAGCTTCATTGGCTCATACGCGTCCTTCAGCTACAAAAAAAATCAACCATGATGCAACGCCTTCTTCTGTCCGTCGCTATTCTTTTGCTTCAGCTGCCATTGCATATCTTCGCCGGTGCAGGTAAGTACATTGTGGGCGCATGCATGAAGCAATATCAACGGGTAGCTCATTTGGAATGCCGTATTTTCTATAATCCTCAGGTTGGGCTTCCAAGTTGGAGGTGAGTTCCATGCCAGGAATTGCACGGATTATCTCGCTACTGCTAATCCCTCCTATGTATTCATTGGTTCAGAGGCGGAAGCTGGGCCTTGCCGAGGACTGGGAAATCAGTCTTCAGGAGGATACGGACGATGATGAAAGAGTGGCCCACCTGGATTTTACACATGGAACTGGTGGAGTGGCCAGTTACAGGATCTATGGAGACCCAAACTTTGACCCCTCCACTGGTCTTACTGGGGGGACTTGTAAAACTTCAGGTGGTATTCAGCAGGCACTTCCCACCACTGGTTTGACGGTCACCCCCACAATTGGAGAAACAGAATCGCACCTGAGCATCTCTGTTGACAAGGGAACTATTGCAGGCAACACAGACATCCACAAAGACACTATTGACCGAGGCTCTGTTACCCAATTCTGTGTGTATTTCTTCTTGTCCAATGCGGATGCAGAAGGAAATTTTGTGGAGATCGAGATTCGATTCATCGAACAACAAGATGGATCAATCACCCTGACTAGTTTTGAACCTACCAGAGCTGCCCCTGTGACGCGAGAGTTCACTTCATCGTTTGGATTGTCTGCAGAGATCTGTAATGTTCCCTCAAGCCAAGGTGAAGTTGTTTCGGTCTGCATAACATCATCTGACGCACTAGTCTCGATAGCATCAGTTGATTCCTTTCAGTTCGCAACATCTGATGAAAGTGTGACGCAGATTGCCTTCTCAGGAGGCATTGCAAGCAGTCTGACTGAGATTGAGGCAAATGATGGTTCCTATTTCAAGTTCAACACTGTGCTCAAGGCTGACTTTTATCTAGGACCAACAAGCACAGTCATCGGCACGGGAAATTGCATCCTATCAACAGGCGGCGGCAGGTTTCTCGCGGAGAACTCCAGCCAAGAAGATTCCGAAGACGAGATACCGATTAATCTTGCATTCACGATTGGCGGTCGTCATGATATTCCGGTAGATGGGGACGAAGAAGAGACCGAGCGCACCGTGTACATTGAATCAAGACAGGCCGATCTCCCAATGATCGTGATGGTGGTTGCCGCTTTGGGAGTGTCTTTGTTTGCTTCAGCAGCTGCGCTCGTCGCGGTCTGTCTTGTTCTTGGCCGCAACCGCACCTCGAGCAGTGACAAGAAGTTGTTGAAGGGGCACGTGGACGTGGATACGACCGACAATGAATCGTGTGTCATGAGTGAACGTTGGTTATAATCGCAAAGGAAACTCAATGCCTCCTTAGTTTATTTCAAGAATCGAATCAAAAAGAAATCCTTTTCATCTTACCTTCATATCTTTCCAAAAACTGTGACTGTTAGCCCTGCTGGTTATTTAAAAGGGCACCTCGTTGTCACAGAAGTAATTTAAAAAAAACTAGAACGTGTAAACATTCCATACAATAACAGTTTTGCCGGTGATCATTTAGATCGGGCTACTAATCATATTAGTAAGCAAGGGAGAAGAGTCTTGAGGAACACAACCCAAGCAAGTATTATGACCAGGGAACCAATATTTCAACCCCAAAGTCCAGACGAAACAAAGAGGTTGGGCTCAGGCATGAAGCCAAACTAAAGAATTGTCGTCGTGGCAGCTTCGCCTTCCGCGCTAGATTGCAATGCCATCCCGGTATAATGCTCAGAGGGCAAGGCTTCTGATAAAAGAGAACGCAGCTGCTAACTTTGGGACGTCTTTTCGTTTCATGTATCAAAACTGGTGGCTCTCTGAAGGGCGACTTATTGCTTTGAAAACACATGGCACTTTCTCGCTCGACAGCATTGTTTCAGGCCCCCATGATACATGTAGTTATCCACTGGATCGCTGCACTTGAGATTCTTCAACGATTACCCTTTCACCAGCAGCTCCGGCTTTGTCGCTGCCAGTGAAGCTCGTGTTGAACGAATTGTTCGACGACAACCATGACAAGTCTTGGAAATTGAGGACGTGAGTAGAACGACGTCGCTCCTGCGGCGATCCCACGCAGTCTTCCATTTTGCTGGACAAATCCATCAACTGATCTCTTCCTTCTTCCTCGTCATCAGTGTCCGTCCCTACACCCAGCGCACGGCTGCTGGGGAGATCATCGTCACTGGCATATTTCAAATCCGAAACGTCGGGCAATGGAAGTCCGGTACTGCGCGTGCTAGCGATCTGATCATCGTCATAAAACTCTGGACGTTCGGAATCATTGATGGATGCCTGACGAGAATAGCGGGTCGAATCGATATTTTCGTCGTCGTCCCTCACAGCAACGTGCAATTCTTCTCGAAATACTTTTCGAATCGCTGTGAAGGAGGGTCGTTTGTTGGGGTGAACAGCTAGACAACTTTTCATGGTGTCTTGAAGTGGCTCTGGCCAGCACGGACAGAGCGGCATTTGGTCTGGCATTTTGGGTGCTGCCTTTTCCACAGCTTCTTTGCTATCATCGCAGAGACACCATGTCGTGGGATCTGCCAAGGCCAGCATTTCCCAGAGCAGAATTCCAAAACTGTACACATCGGCTCGGGTACTGTAGGGCTGACGTAGAATGACTTCAGGCGCCATGTACATTCTGGTTCCAACACTCGACATGTGAAAGGCTTCTTCCAAGACCGCCTCTCGGGTCTTGATAGAGTCTCGCAACAAACTGGTCGGCAACCACCGGCTCAATCCAAAATCAAACAATTTGACATCGCCCCGTACATCAAAACCAATATTGGAAATCTTTAAATCGCGAGCGACCATGCGTCTTTCATGAAGATACTCCATGGCACCACAAATTTCATAGGCCACGGCATATCGCTCTTCAAGCAGCTCATCGAGCTTGCTACTGGCCGTCTCTCTGTTCTTTTTCAAGATCATTTTCGAGACAAGACTGTTCTTGACAGCCTTGTACTTTTTGACTCGCTTTCTCCACGCTATTAGTTTTTGCTCCATTGTTTCTGGCAACTGATCCAGGATCAAAAAGTATCCATTGTGTTTGCCACTGCGATAGCCGGATGGTCCTGCGGCAGCAAATCCTCTCAGTTTGATAATGTTGGGATGCTGTACCGATAGAAGAAACTGTGCTTCCCAAACGAGATCGACCGCAGCACAATTGAAGGTTCGTTTGTCGTAAACGTCTTTCAATCCGGGCCGGAGATGCTTGAGGGCGTACCGATACGAGATGGTTTCGCCCTTGCTGTCTAGAGTTCGAGTGGATGATGTCATTGAATGGGAAGATCCTTTGGGCAGACTGGAGGTGGACGATGTCAACGCGGGGGTTGCCCGTATGGCATGTTTGGCCAAAAACTTGCGAGCGACCAGTTCCTTTTTGGTGTAGGCGCCTCCGTACTCGTTGACACTGGTATCGGGCATGTGCAATACCGTTGTTTTGGGGAGTCCATCGTCAGAACCAACAGAACGACGGGCCGGCACCCCATCTGCCATTCGGAATCCTGCGAGTTCCGAGACATTGGAAAACCCTCCCACACCTAGCAGAGCTCCTATTTTGAGTTCGTCCCATTCAAATTTTCCCATGGCTGCTAAATTGGCTCTGTAAATGGACATGTCACTGGGCGTGAAATTGGCCTCTCGTTCGGTATGCATTGCCTTTGTTTTTTCAATGGCCCGTGCCACAATATCATCTGCTTGCTCGAGTTCCACAGACTCTTCTCCTCCACAGTGAGCATATATCTTTTGATTGCGGATGGAATGGATCAATTCAATCAATCCATTATCACCCAAATTGTGGGCCTCGGCAGCGCCATGAACGTCCTTGGCAGTGATCCTCAGAGGCTTTTTCGTACAGAGTTTGCACATTTTGAGGGTCATATAGTTGCCACCGTGGTGGCTCGAGTGGCCATTCAGATTGCTCAATGGATCTTCGCCCACATAGTCAGCTGACTTGGTTCTTCTGGGCCGGCCTCTTCGGCTCAGGTTCAAAGGGAACTTTTGTTGCGTGCTGCCAGAGCCAATCGGATCAGAGTCTGACGAAGCCATGGACTCATTGCTAGTGCGAGGTGTCGCTTCGGGGCCTGACAGGAACTTCTTCATGTGCTGTATCAGTTGTTTATGTGCTGTATCAGTTGTTTATCTGAGGATCGATGCGCACAATTAGTTATCTGAGGACATAGATGGGAGGGAGATCAGAACGGTTTTATTCCTCCCCGAAAGGACCGCTGAGATAGATAGCCCAACGGTGGTAACCCAGCCAACAGCCAACAGCCAACACAGCAAATCAATGCTCCCTTGCTCGTCAAGAGATAATCGGAGGGTAGCGACCGGTGTGGTTGCCTATCCTGGATTGATGTGAGCCGAGGGAATTCAACAAAGGCTTGGGCCTTTGTTGGTTTTCGTTTTGTGGTTTGTGTCTTTTGCATCTTTCCTCTTTGGGGCCAACCAGGAACCTCTCTCGCAAACATCATGGTGGACGGTAAGAAGACTATGTCGTTGATACCAGTATCCACCCGTACGACGTACTACTAGTAGTACGGTACCATTACAGCTGCAACTACGACCCAAATCAAATTATCTAAGTCCTTTGAGTCGACCGCGACCTCCAAATCAGTGTCCAGTACTTCTTACAATAGTCTCAGTTAGAAATCTGTGTTCTTCATGGACAATTTTGGTCCTCATTGAATGACCGCACCTTCACCAGTCTCGTTTGCCTCTAAGCTCTGAGTGCTCCAATATGGCTTTCACCGGTTACGAAGGAGCTTTTCATCCCCAAATAATCGGTCAACAGCTGTGCAGTACAGTGCAACACTGTACTTTTACCTGGTACTCGCTCTGTAGCTTGGAAGGAGTACAGTAAGGTACCGGTAGCCTCCTGAAACAGGCACGGTTGTCGTAGACCTAGTCACAGCCCGAGCGCCCTCGGTTCGCCTCTCGCTTCCTCGTGCTTGCATGCTTGATCATGGGTGGTCGGCTGGTCGAAGATCCTGGGTTACCCGCGGATTTGTCCGAGTTCCCCAAGATTTGGATTTATAAATAGTGAGACATGGATATAATATTATGCTCTAAGTCTCACAATGTCTCATTTTGTGGTACAATGTCTATTGTTTATGTCTCATGTCTCACAATGTCTCATTTTGCGAGAAGCCTTCTGTCTCATGTCTCATTTATTTACAAAGGCTTTTCTGGGTCATCACAAGAAAGTGTCTGTCTTATCTTTAAGTCAATCCATGTCTCACAATGTCTCATATTAATGTCTCATGTCTCACGAATTTTAACAATGTCTCACAATGTCTCATTATTTAAATTACTGCATATAATTCTCTAATTCTCGAATGTCTCAAGAACACTAGCTTTCCGAAAAGAGACTTTTTCGTGGGTAACCCTGTGGAGGGGGATGGATCCATGGCGCTCTCCCTGGTTTCGGCTGCAAAGGCGAACTCCTACTAGTAAGTCACTGGCTGCAGTCTAGAGCTAGCTAGACCGACCCCAATGCATGCTGGTGTACCGTAACCATTACGAGATTGCTTATTCTCCTTACATCCTACACCTGGCTGAAGAACCAATGCCAACCAAACACTCATCTGAAGCAACACATGTCGCCACACCAGGACGCAATAAGTCTGACCCATCCTCAGACCGAGCATCATGGCCTTGCTACTTAGGGCTCAAGGGGAATACTAATAAATGGCTCCCCAACAAACGCCAAATTTAGTAATCATATAACTACTTCCTCCGGTAATTGTGCAACGAGGACACCTGGACCGTCCGACGGTTTTTGCTCAGGTTTTTAAAAACTGCTCAAATCGTGGTTCTGGTTAAGGGAATGTTAAGGGAATGTTGAAGCTTTAAGGGAATGTTAAGGGAATGTTGAGGATTTAAGGGAATGTTTTAAGGGAATGTTTATTTAAGGGAATGTTAAAGGGAATGTTTATTTAAGGGAATGTTCATTTTTTTAAGGGAATGTTCTATTGGGTTTACATGAAGGCTTAGAGGAATGTTTCGAAGCGTTAAGGGAATGTTGTTAAGGGAATGTTGATTTAAGGGAATGTTAAGGGAATGTTAAGGATTTAAGGGAATGTTTTAAGGGAATGTTTAAGGGAATGTTTCAACTGCAAAATTTTGAGTTTTTTTAAAACCTGAGCGAAAACCGTCGGACGGTCCTGGCCTCCAAGCCATGTGCCGCCCGTCATCAGAAACTACCACACCAGGACCTAAGTCTGACCCATCCTCAGAGCGAACCCACAACGCATGTACAGTATCTGTCACCGGCTTCAAGCCAGCCATTCGACAGATCTAGCTAAGCCTGAAGAAGAGCGAATTTCAGCCAAAATCTCGTCTCAAAGCAACGCACAACACCAAGCCTATTCCTTGCTGGATCTAAGTTTGAAGTTGATCCATCCTGAGGACCAAGCAGCACATGGAGGAAGTGGGGCATAGTAGCACCTAGGTCGCGACATCAGGATTACTCCTATTGACTTCGGCTAGACTTGAGACGACGCCTTCACATCATCAGCACCTACCGTGCGTACACCGAGTCAGCCCGGTGCCAGCACCAAAGTCTGGCCATTCATTACAACCATCACAAAGACCCCGCACAAGGACCCACACCTGGACATAGCCAGCATAATTCGAGCCTGGACCAACGCTATGTGAACACCACAGTCTGATACACACACACTTGAATCCAACTCACCCCGGTTCTTCACTCTGTAGTACTAGTACCGTAACCAACATCGTACTCATCCCAAGATATTCCTCATTCTTGGACTGCACGTCTTTTCCCGACCCAGTCAGTCGCATCGGGTCGAGCCAAGACGACAACACGCACCTTTTCTGCAGAGACCTACTACATGTAGTTAGTACGGTTCCAAGTTTGCTGGCGCCACGGTCTTTTTTTCAAAAGCAAGCAAGGGAAGAGGTCGTTGATAACTTGCTTTTTCACGGAACGGTTTGTCCAGTGAGCTGTCCATTGGCAAAGTAGTGGCAAAATAATAGGTAACTATCAATGAGATCATACAGTATTAAAAGCTTTTAAAAGTCACATTTTGAATTAGTTACTTTACTCTTAGGTGTTTCAGTTAAATTCCATTTTTAGTTAAGATACGTTATCCAAAATTCATTCATGCTAACTAATAACATTTGGGGGAACACTCCGCGGGGAATATTGGAAGAAGGCATTCATTCAACCAATCCTCTGCTCTGTTATTACCCTATTTCGCCTTCATTTTTCGGCTCACCAATCCTCAGATTCCGCTTGCAGATATTCCCTTGTGAACCATTCCAACAAACAAGTGTTCCTCTTCATCTGAACCAGCGTCGCCATCCCAGGTTTAACTTGATTTCTTCCTTCAGAGTTTGCACTTGTACCATTCATCCCATTGGAAACGCATTGTTTCGAGGTGAATCAGAAGAATCATCATGTTGGCTCGTGTTATGAATCGTCCTCGTCAACCAGAGGAGGTTGGCAATGAACAGATCAAGAAGGGAAACTCCATCAAGTTCAATGCCCAACGGTTTGTGACGAAACAAATGGGAAAACTGCTGTCAGAGTACGCCATTGGAGACATGTTGGGATCGGGAGGATTTGGTGAAGTCTACCTCGGGAAACACAAAAAGTCTGGTGCTGAAAGAGCCGTGAAAGTGATCACCAAGTTGCCGAGGAAGGATGATCCCGGCAATTTGGCCGTCCTGCACGAGTTTGATGTTGTCCGAAAGTTGGATCATCCCAATATCCTCAAGATGTACAATCTTTACCAAGATGAAGCATACTTCTACATTGGTAAGTGGAAAATATATATATGCAAACGCTGTGCCTCAGTATTCAGTTTAATGAAGCGTGGCCAAACTTTCTCACACGTTCTGTTATGCCCCCACCTGAAATCTCGCCACGCCAGTGACTGATATCTATAAGGTATGGAACGAAGGAAACTGTCACCAATATTGAAATTCTGGTGTTCATAATCTCACATGGGTGCAACCATTCTCGAGTGTTTAGGGAGGAGATCTCTTTGATGAGATTATTAAGAGGACAAAATTCACGGAGAAGGATGCCGCCGAGCTAATCAATCAACTGTTGGGTTGCGTCAACTATATTCACAAGCAGGGGTTGGTCCATCGCGACTTGAAACCCGAGGTATGTAGGAAATTGTTTGCGCCGATCAATTGACTATTGAAAGTGCTAACACAACTGAAATTCGAAGAACATTCTCTTGGGTATGTAGGAAAAGGTTTCCGGCGATCAAATTGGCTACATGAATTGATGGTGCTAACATTGTCATAACTTATTTCACGAACTCCAAATTCACGCTTAACCTCAGAGGAAAACATGGAAATGGACGACATGAAAGTGATTGATTTTGGTCTGTCAGCGGCTTGGAACGAAGGAGACAACAACTTGCGTGACAGCGTGGGCACAGTCTGTAAGCGAAACGCTTGGAGCCGCGAGCTGTGGTCTTTCGAGAGGTTGAAAGTGTCCTCACCGTGTGGTTTGTTGGAACTTCTTTATCTCGTTGCAGACTACATGGCTCCAGAAGTCTTGCGCCAACGCTATGGGGCCAAGTGTGACGTCTGGTAAGGCCCCGCCAACTCCTTCTCGGTGAAATTCCAGTTGCTGTTTGGCTCTCTCAACCGCTACTCTTCTGCTTCTGTAGGTCCTGCGGTGTCATTGCATTCGTTTTGCTATCTGGGACTCCCCCCTTTGACGGAGCAACCGATGAAGACATAGAAAGAGCTATCATGAAGGGCGACTTCAAGTTCAAGGGGCGGGTGTGGGATGCTGTGTCGGATGATGCGATGGACTTTGTTGATCTTCTGCTGGCATATGACCCTCAGGAACGTCCCACTGCCGAAGAGGCCCTACAGCATCCCTGGTTGCGAAACACTCGCGAGAGTGTTGCGTCTTCATTCAAGAAACGAGCTTCCGATACGACGAGGGCCTATCTGGTAGGTTGGTTGGTTGGTTGTTTGCCCTGAAACCTTGCGCACACACATACAAAGCTTATTAGCCGACCGTGTTCATTTTTGTCGCACCCAGAATAACTTGAAGAACTTCAACTCGACCTCCAAGCTGAAGCAGGCGACATGCGCCTTTATTGCCTCTCAATTGCTTCTGAAGCAGGAAAAGGAAGCAATCGATGATGTTTTCCGTGCCTTGGATACCAACTGTGATGGAAAGCTCACCAAGGAAGAAGTGATCACTGGGTACTTCGACTACTACGGGTTGATGTTGACCGATGAAGAAGTTGACCAAATGTTCCAACAAATCAACTATGCCGGAACAGGTACGCACACCCTCTATCCTTTCGATTCTGCTTGTTCGGCAATGATCCGTGTTCGAGATTAGATTCACTCAAAGTGTGTTGTCTGTGAACACCTAATTTGTTCTAGGCGCCATCAGCTACTCGGAGTTTGTGGTTGCTGCAATGTTTGAAAAGAATTTGCTTGACAACTCCAAGTTGCAAGCCGCCTTTGCCATGTTTGACTCTGATGGAGATGGCGTTATCTCCCTCGATAATTTCAAGTCGGTCCTCTCCTTCTTTCGCGACGAAGCCGATGGAGACGACAACATGGACGACTATATCCTGAAGAAAGTGATTCAGGAGGTTGACACGGATGGGGACGACAAGATTTGCTACGAGGACTTTCAGGAAATGATGTTCAAGACAGTTGCTGTTGCAAACCCGCCTGCCACGGTGTCAGATCCTGTGATTGCGTCCCCACCGACCACCCCCACAACAACCCCGAAAAAGCCCAAGAAAGGTCACGTTCGTCAAAAGTCAGTCGTCGACGTTCGTGGTTCTGGCTCTATCATGGCCATCTTTGCCGACGCCGTTGCCCATGTCACCCCCAAACGACACCGCCGCAACCACTCGCATCTGTCTCATTTCATGAGTGGAGGTCCCCTGGACTTTGATGCTACTCTTGGCGTCATTGGTCCATCGCACAAGAAATCCGCTACTATGACGGTGCTGCCAAACCTGAAAGAGTAGCTAAGACGCCTGGACTGTTTCAGTGGTACCACCCAGTTCTCGGTACGGGTATTGATGGATGGTGACGAGCGATTCAAGGAGCGTGCAATGCATTATTGGCAAAGTCTATGCATATGTATGTGCTACCTCTAGAGCTAGCCAGGAGACAGCGCTTTGTATGCAAGACTTCATGTTGTACCGGTATAGCAAGTAAACATAGATGATCCAGTACATGTCGTGTAACTCGAAAGATCCTACTGGTATCAACTTCAGTACTAGCTAGCTAGCCAGAGAAACCAATGCTGCAAGACCAATACTAGCTAGTAGTAGACCTGCTGGAACTGGGAGTAATTACGTTGTGCAGATTATCTCCGCAGCGCGGTGTGTGAACTGGTGCGTACGTACGTACCGAGCAGATTCGAGTGTGAATAATTCCTTCGGTCCCAACTGGGACAGACACTTCACTACTGGGTCATTTTTTGAAGCGAGGACACACAACCCAGCGGGGAAGGATGCGGGTCTGCGCTTGTTTGGTGGCATTTCGTGGTGGTTGGAAGGAGATTCGCTTGGATCTGTGTCTGCAGATTGCAGTGGCAGCCAGAGCTATTTTTGGGTGCTGCCAGTTATTGGAGCTTTATCCAACAGTCTCACTTTTGTTGGAGGATACCCCTACCTCTGATATCTACCCTACTTAGCCTGTTAGCCTATAGACTTGCTGACCAGTGGGCGTGAAGAAGTGTTTGCTGTCTGAGCCTTTGTTGGATTGCCAAGTCCAATCCATTTGAGAGGGAGAGTCGATACCGGTAGCACAAGAAGAAGGAGTTTTTAAAAGTGTCATCGACATTTTCCATACGCTACAGTGAAGAGCACACGATAACAATAGAACCAACAATGTCATCCAATCTGCCAGAGCTTTCCTTGGCACCGCCTACATTGGCTGCTGCCACGACGGTCAAGTTTAATGCCGGACAGTTTGTCTCCCGAAGAAAGGATAAGGTGTCCAAACACTACCAGATCAAGAGCGCGCTGGGATCGGGTGGATATGGGGATGTCTTTTTGGCCACGCACAAGCAGAGCGGTGCGGAACGAGCCATCAAGGTGATCGACAAATCCAAGTGGAACTCTCGTGAAAATGAAGCAGTCATCAACGAGTTTAACATTGTCAAGGATCTAGATCATCCCAATCTGCTCAAGATGTACGTAAGAAAAACTATCAAATTGCCCACCCCTGGAATTATGGCAGCGTAACGAACGGGTTTGCTAGTCAAAAAAACTCACCTGACAAATTAATTCTCCTTTCCGCCCACAGGTACGAAATGTTCGAAGATCATCGCCATTACTACATCATTACAGATATCTACAAGGTGAGTTGTATTTAGTTTGGGTTGGAAAAACAAGCCCAACCCCAACACAGTTGATTTTGTGTTATTATTATTTCAACAAATATATGTATCAAATCAAATGCTGAACTTGTGATACCCCCCTCCGTTAACTTCTTTTAATTAAAAATCCAGGGTGGCGAGTTATTCGATGAGATTGAGGCCAATGGGGCTTTTGCAGAAGAAGATACTGCCGTACTCATGATGAATGTCCTGTCCTGTGTCAATTACTGCCACAAGAAGGGGATCGTACACAGAGACTTAAAGCCCGAGGTATGTAGGAAATGTTGTGCGGCGATCAAATTAACTGTTGATAGTGCTAACACAACTGAAATTCGAAGAATATTCTCTTGACTTCCAGCAAAAAACTAGACGATCTCAAACTGATTGATTTTGGGTTGGCCAGCTACTTCAAACCTGGTCAACGCCTGAAAGATTCGGTGGGCTCGGCCTACTACAAGGCACCCGAGGTGCTCAACGAAGACTATGGCGAAAAGTGTGATGTGTGGACCTGTGGAGTCATTTGTTTCATCCTTTTGGCCGGATATGCTCCCTTTGACGGGGACGATGACCAGCAGATCGAAGACGAAATTCGATCTGGTGATTTCGAATTTGATGACCCCATCTGGGACATGATCTCCGAGGACGCCAAAGATTTTATCGAAGAGTGTCTCACCTACAACGAAAAACATCGTCCTACAGCAGCAGAGGCGTTGACCCATCCTTGGCTAGAAAATACCCGAAAGGCCGGCAAAAAAAACTTTGTCAAGAAGGAAGGCGATAGCATCCAAAATTCGTTGAACAACATGGCCAACTTTCACGCCAGTTCCAAGTTGAAGCAGGCGACACTGGCGTTCATTGCTTCTCAGCTCTTGTTAAAGGAAGAGAAGCATGCCATTGATGAGGTATTTAGAGCCCTCGACACCAACTGCGACGGAAAGCTCACTCCGGATGAAATCAAAGATGGCTACCGAGATTTTTTTGATAAGGAACTCTCACAGGAAGAAGTGGACACCATCTTCAAGAGAGTGAATTTCCGAGGGACCGGGGCCATCGACTACTCCGAATTTGTAGTTGCCTCCATGTTTGAGAAAAACCTATTGGATGATGCTCGATTAGAAGCAGCATTCAAGAACTTTGACAAGGATGGCGATGGTTTCATTGACGCCGACAATATCCGAAAGGTCCTCTCCAATTTTGGATCTGTTGGGTCCAAGGATAGCATGGACGACTACATCAACACGAAGATTATCGGAGAGTTCGACGAAGGTGGTAATGGGCAGATCTCATTCACCGATTTTAAGAGAATGATGTTCCAAACTGTCAAGGAACAACCCAAACGAAGAGGCAGACGCGGCTCGTTCCTGGAAGCTGTCGACCATGGAAGCTTGGAGGCTGCTGATGGGCCCGAACCAGAACCGCTGCTAAGACCTGGTCAAAAGAAACGTAGCGGCAGCATCAAGGATGTTACCGGAGCGATGGAGTACATGACAATCTTTGATAGTGCAAAGGAAGGTAGTGGTTCCAATCCTCTTTTTGCCTCCAGGCAGAGATTCGCGAGTGTACGAGGGTCTGCGAATAGCCAGAAGAAGAAGTTGATGCCTACACGAACAACTACCCGTGACACTGTGAAAGCCTATGACGAAAAAACGAGACCACCACTCACGGCAAGTTACAGTGGAGACCTGAAATTGCTAGCAAAGAAAGCCAGCTCCGGCGGACTCCTTGAAGAGGAGGACGAAGACTCTGATTGAGGAGTAAGCTGTGGGTGCACTGAGAGCGCTTTGCAATTCCTGGATTGGATTGCTGCCAAAGTTGTGGCACCGCTTTGAACGAAGGTAGCCATGGAGCAGGCTACGTGTTGGGGCTCACGTGGGAATCCGGTGATCGTGTTGTTCATTTTGTCCCAGAGATAAACAACTTCCCTGTCCAACTAGTACTTTGATGTTTACGGCACGGATCGTACGTTAGCTCTGTGTATCTCTACGAAAATCCCATTCTTGAATCTACATAGACACATTTTTTCTAGGTCATACGATTTTCTCTAGCTAGGTGCGCCACCTATGCCGAGTAGTTAGTAATCCCAGATGGATGTCGATTTGAAGGAAGCTCCCGGATGCAGCTACAGCCACTACCGGTACCGTAACACTTCGGTCGACACGATAGTGCAAAAATAAAATGCTTGCTGCGGCCAGGTCGTGTTGGCGCCGGCTCACTTCCACATCGTTCTCGTAGCTACAGTAGCAAGTATGTACGTAAGTACCAGTACGAAAATTCGACAACACCATCAAGCTAGCTAGCTACCTGGTATGGTAGCTCCTATGCTGCAAAAGTAGACTAAAAGGACCTTGTGTGCATGGCTTTACTTGCTACTCCTGGAGTACCCCGTACGGCATGGCGGTGTGGACGACAACGGTGCCGAATAACAATCTAACTCCCATGATGATGCACTGTCTCCCGAAGGCCTTAGCTCCTGAGCACTCTCGTGACTCGACTCCGTATCGTAGTCTACCGGTACGCATGAAAACATATTTACCATAAAGAGTAAATAAATGGTTCAAGTGCGTCCCAATGGCAATAAATCCGATAGCATCGGCGACGTGCAATGTTCAAGAGGCAATTTTTTGCTTTGCGGGTTTCTAAGTGAAATTGATCCAGTTTTTGGAATAGAGAGCTCGTGGACTTAGCCCTGCTCTTAGACATCGCCTTTCGGAAGCTGGGCGTAAGTCGTTAGCGTCGCTCACATAGCCTCACATACATAGCCTCACATGCTCACATGCCATACATATATATATTCTCATAGTTTCGACAAACTTACGACGTCTCAATGTTCCAGTCGAAAGGACGTGAAAACTTTAAAACTGCAAGCAATCGAGTCAGAGTCACGCTGAAATGTACCGGTACTAGTACTGTACTGTACATCCGATCAGCCGGCAAGAATGAGATTGGTTCCCACAAAGTGCCACAGTAAACTAACTAGGTGGTCCAACTGGTTCCTCCACCAAGCATCGCTGTCGATTGATTGACAACAATCCCACCAACCTCACAATCAAAACGGCCGTGAAAGCAGTAAGAACCCAGAAACCAATTCGGAATCGCCTCACAAACCAACAATCATGATGATGAATTCACCACGCAGAAACACAGTGCAAGTATTCCAAGTCGATCACGGCTCGGTGCTGGAAGGGATCTTCAGTGGGTCGTCGCCGGTATACCAACAAGAAGACAATAATAAGCCAAGGCTGGTCATGGGCAATGGGAAACGAGGTTCATTGACATCTACATCCGATCACAAGAAATGGACCACGAATTCGCCGGCGGCGGTCTTTGAGGAGAGCGGTAGCAGCAAACCAAGATTAATGGTTGGTGGCAACCCACGACGAGCGTCGGCACCGGTATCGCCCAAGAAGAAGACCAACAAACTCCAACAGTACCTATCCAAAAAGAAGAATGGACTGCCACTATGAGAACATGAGACCACCAGAACACCCAATAGAAGCCATCTGCAGGATGTAGCATAGGAGCTACAATCAGCTGCTATCTACTTGCTAAATCATATCCTGCACAAACGTCTGACTACCAGAGGAACTGGATGAGAAGGGTGGTCGGGACAGGCCCTTTTGCGGTTTTGACATGATCGACGAAGCAACGTCGACAATCTACTGCGCTGCACATAGCTATTTAAAAAAAAGAATACAGTAGAATGATTTCAATCTGCCAACTAGTCAGTAGTCTTCACCAGTTGAATCCTCACCGAGGTACAGAGCTGCTTCTACTTCAAGTTCTGCTACCTAGCATGGTAGGCTCATTGGTAGTATTCTAGTTGGGCGTAGTTTTGCTAAACCCACCTTGCTTTGCTGGAACATTGTGGCCGAACTTCCATCTCGATGGTGGGTTGCTTCAGTGTCATTGTTCCACCCACATGGTGCTTGATGACAAGTATGTTGGAAACACCTGTTGCCCGGTTGCAGACGCCAACAGACTCTGAATGGCCGCTCTATTTGACATGCGGCTCCATTCGACTTGCTATTTACTTCATGAAGAATGAAGACATAGGCTTTGGGCGACGGATACGAACCTTCCACACACAGGTTTACAACAACGGATGCATCTCGTTAGAAGGGGTCTCCTGTCTCCTGGCTACACTATCACTGCATGTAACTAAACTACAACTACTGCACTTACTTTCACTAGAATATCAGGCATTTATCTTTCTTAGTACATGAAGTAGACTACAATGTAAGTATCAAGTCATACCATCAAAATCTAGCTAGCTGTCCATTGCCAATTTGGTTTGGAGCAGATGGGTTCCTTCGTCCGCCACAGCACCATGTGGATGTAGAAACTTGAAATAGTACAGTGTATGGCTTCAAAAAGTAAGTCACCTTGCTCGAGCAAATGAAGGGGTCCTGTAGTTCGGGGTTGAGGTGCGTGTGGTGCGACCGGAACAATCGTATTTTAATGGAGAGTGACACAGTACCGTATGGTGGGAGGTGAAAGAGGCCAAGATTTGCTCTGTAAAGATTATGACAAAAATACCCCAGATCATAGTATGAACTTCTACTCATGCGCTTATTTATTTGTTTTGCTTAATTTTGCGCCAACATCTTGGCCAAGTTTCCATTCCGATGGGCCGCTTGAGTATCATCGTTCCCTCCCAAATGTTGCTTGTTGACAAAGACATTGGGAACACTTCGTTGTCCTGTCATGGAGACCAATTCATTCTGAATGGCAGATCCATTCGGCATTGTATCCAGTTCGTGTACGGCGACTTGGACATTGCCGAGGCTGCTAAAGAGTTGTTTGGTAGCCCTGCAGTACCCGCAGTACGTCTTGCTAAAAATGACAACCTAACGAAAGAAAAGTAATAAAATGAAAGCACAGCCAAAACACGGCGTGAGTCTCCAAAAGTCGATTTTCCAACGAGACTGTGGATCCCTGTATCGTGTGGAAATGAAATGGATTCGATTCATCGATCTTGCTATCCTCACCTGATTGTTGGCAATTTCTTGGTTAATGAAACCCTTCACGTCGGACGATCCGTTGCTACCCATGGTGCGATAATAAGATTGGGACGGGAGGTTTCTTGGAACAATTGATGAAAGTTTTGTGGAAGCCTTTGCTGATAATGAGCAGCGGATCGAGCACAGCATGGAGGCAGGAGCGACAGTAGACGGGCCAAGTAGTTTTAGGTCTTGTGCTGATCCCTCTGGGGCACGAAATCAACGGCCGCCATTGCCCTCTCTTTTCTTCCTCCCAACGACATACTGACGTAGGCTGGTGGTGAGACGCACATTTACACCTCCCAGAGAGGACTGGCTCTTTTTCAGCCGTGGATACGAGTGGCACCAAGCGACACCAAAACAGCTTGGGCCCAAATCCATCGCGGTCTTCTAATCCAAACAACGAAACCCTTGGAGTCTTGTACCGTACCAGGACGCTGGATGTGTAAAAGAAAGAGCCCGAGCATCAGTTGTACTACCGTATCTTTCTTCCTATTCTTGGTGATCAACCCTATCGATCATAATTTCACAAAAGAGAAATCCTGATTACACACAACGAACAACGAGCGAATCCAAACTTCAACAAAGAACAAATACACACCGACAAACGATGAACCCCTTCAAAAAGGTGCTCAATGGGATCCGAAAGAATACCGAGGATCCACCGGGTGAATACAACGGCAGCAGCAGCAATAATGTCCACGGGCTAAAACCCATCCCCAAAAAGACCCAAGCCGTGGAATTGGGCACCATTGACTACATCAACTTGACCCCCGACGGCAAGCACGGAGATTTTAACGCCGCCGTCCAGGCGTCGTTGGAGACTGGAAAACCAATCTTTGCCAACTTTGTGGAATGGAGCGGATGAGCCGGGTGCAAAGACGCCGGGGCGATCTTTGCAGATCCCGTCGTCAAACGAGCTGCCGAAGAGCTCTTTGTTCCCGCGGCGTTCAATACGTGGGACCGCGACTATGCCGGACGCAACCAAGCCATGAAACGGTGGGGTGCCGGTCTCGCCAAGAGCTGATGGGGGTACCTCCGAATTATTCAAGTTAATTCGGGGGGCAAGAATCCCAAATCTTTGGTAGTCACCGGGACGAGACAAATCACCGGGCGTCGACAATTGCAAGAAGTCAAGAGCATCATGGTCGAAGCCTTGGAAGATCTTGGCATTGACGTCCCCGATTACTTGGCTTAGGTTTGGCCGTTTCGGCTGGCTGGGGCTATTTTCATTGCATGTTTCTGTTGTCTCTTGTTTTTGACGCAATCCTGTCCATCTGAATGACCTTCCTGGTACCACTTCGCGAAAGCCTCCTCTGGGCTTTGGTGCGGTGTCCTGGCAGTGACAAGATGAACAGGTTGTGCACAGAAACACGAAGCAACGCATGCAGCAACCTATACATACAAAAAATACACACTTGCTCTACACAAATGGATTGAAATATGCGGTGGCGTCCTGCTGTTTGAATGCTGCGACCTGAATGACCTACTTGGAACCGGTTCCGCGGGCCTCTTGTTGGCTCCGTCGGGCCTCCTCGTAGTGACAAGGTTTTTGCGGCAAGCCAAGCGAGCATCGCCAAGCAGCAAATTGATGCATTCCATTTGAGATTAACCTCTAGATTAACCTAATACATAGCATGTACTTCTACTAAAGACTAAGGAAATGGTTTGGCGCGTGTGTGGGGTGCTTTGGGTACGTGGCTGGTGGGCCTGGAGTTGGTCCTGCGCTTTGGTCCTGCGCTTTGGTCCTCTGGTTGGGGTGGATCTTTGTGACATGCCCGAATAGGTCCTGGAGTTTATCCAGGATTGGGCCCAGCTATGTGGGTTTTACTGCTAGAGTGGAGCGAGGGGTGAGGCCTGGAGATGGGAGGGGTGGGGCCTTTGCTATTCTTGGCATTGTGTCATTGTGTCCAGTGGTCTTGGCTGGTGCCTGCTGGAGATGGGCAGGGTTTGGGTTCGGAGTGGGTCCTTCCATGATTTGGTCCAGGAGTTGGTCCTGGAGTGGCTGCTGGTGTTGGGCCTGGAATTAGGTCCTGGTGGTACCGGTAGTAGTCGCCTGGAGTTGCCCCTCTCACTCAAGAGTGCTCGCTCAGGCTTGTGGCCGTAGACATCAGACTGCCGTTTCATTGGGGTTGTCGTAGCTGCGTTGGTTAGGGTTATCGCTCATTTTTTGCGGTCACAGAGCGAGCCTGGCCATCCCGACGCAAGACAGGTTAAGAACGGTAGATGCGGTAAATATAGAGTTAAAGCTAAGGTTTACTCTACGTTTTTGTATTAAAACTATAATTTACCGCAACTACCAGATTTACAAAGTTGTCTTCCAGAGCTCCGTCTGTCCATCGATGACCTGCCTCCGACAATGGCACTGCTCTTCGAAGATCGATCGCTATTGGCGTCTTCAGCTATCGACCGGAGGCAATCTGCTCTTTGGGTTGGATGAGATAACATCCTTCAAGCCATCCGTGCTGTCAATCTAGGTAGCCTGTTAACCCTGGATAACCATCTGAACCGACTCGAATCCTCCGCCGAGCCAGTGCCAATCCACCTTCACGACTGTGCTGTGCTACCCCACTTTTTAAAAGTTTGACAACAACCTATTACAGTAGTACCTACCCACCATGTCCTCCGATGAAGAATCGAGCGGATCAGGGAGCCAATCCGAAGAGGATCTCTCTGACGACGAGACGGAGTCCGAAGGAAGCGATGATGGCGAGTCGTCGTTGGGCAAGGAGTTTCTAGAATTCACAAACTATCGACTGCTGCCAGGGGAGAGCTGCCATTGTACGGACGTTGTAGCAGCTTTCCGGTTGTTCTACGACAAATACAAGTCAGTCGACTCTTTACCGGACGAAGAGATAGAAGGACTGCTGAACGATTGGAACGACAAATATGCAAAAGCCAAAAATAAAGATGGTGTCTATGAAGGCTTCCAATTAAATCCAAAGTTCCTTGAGAAGGGTGACAAGAAGAAGGATAAGGACAAGAAGAAAGATGACAAGAAAAAGGATGACAAGAAAGATAAGAAGAAAGACGACAAGAAGGATAAGGACAAGAAGGATGACAAGAAGAAAGATGACAAGAAGAAGGACGATAAGAAGAAAGATGACAAGAAAAAGGATGACAAGAAGAAAGACGACAAGAAGAAAGATGATAAGAAGAAAGATGACAAAAAGATGATAAGAAGAAAGATGACAAGAAGAAGGACGATAAGAAGAAAGATGACAAAAAGAAAGACGACAAAAAGAAGGACGACAAAAAGAAAGATGACAAAAAGGACAAGAAAAAAGACGAAAAGAAGGATAAGAAAAAGGGATAGTTTGCAGGTCAAGCTGGACCGCCTTCTCAGGTTGGATTGCATCAGCTTCTCCTCTCTTCTCCTCATCCTGGATGGTTGTGTAGCATCGTGGGTTGGGTTTGTTTCAACCTCGCCATACATGGGAAAGCTTTCCAGAATCCACATTCGTGGTACGGTGTGTTTATCCATCTATCTCAGCGTACGGTAGGGACGGTTGGAAGCCCGCACCACTCTTCTTGTTGTAGTTGTGTTGTCGTTGTCACAGGGGTGATAGAAAGGGCTATGTGATGATAGCATGGCTCTGCTTGGATCTTAAAGCGATCTCTTAGTATCTGGAAACAAACCAGTAGCTTGCTATTGTAGATTTGAATCAGTCCTAACGGGATCAGGGATCCCTTTGTTTTGGTAGCAAGTAGAGGTTGCTACTTATGCTCTCACTCGTATGCATCGCAAGACATGACGTTTACGAGATACCGGTAGGGCAACGACATCACCCATATCACACGCTCAGATGTCGATTGCAACGAACCCCTGGCGTTCCGCCTTACTGGAGCCAATTGTCACATAAAAGGATGCAGCCAGGCAACGAAGCCTGCTAGAAGCAGAAGGTTGTTGCTACGAGGCACTATACGTTTAGATATACGTTACCGGGTGGAATTGCAAGCATACAGGTACACTAAAAGCACGTAAGGTTGATGGGTTTCTTGGAAACGTTGGAAGACGCTGAAATGATGACTGCCTATGGACTTCATATACAATTGTGCATTCGTTGTTTCTCGGTACAGCGACGCTGTTGCTTCCGTCACTGTTCGTGTCCCCGCCGTCATCTGCAGTGTACCCGTCATCCACAGAATGCTGACGGCTAGCTAAAGCAATGCCTCGATCACTGGAAGTGTCCTAGAAGGATTCCAATCGGCCAAATATATATCAGCCTCGATTTACCATACGCCAATTCCCCCGAGGTGATGAATCGGAGGACCCATTCTTGGTCAGCTTCGCTGCTGAAGGCATTGAAAGCCCCATTCTGTCTCGGCGACCGGCCTCGTGGAGGGGGGGCTGTCGCTAGAGTCCCCCACATGAATGGAGAATCCGACTTGGGCTCGGCTTCGTCGTCGTCATTGTTGCATGTAGGTTGCATTGCGGTTCGACTTTTAGACGAGGCTCTTCTTGCGACGACGATTGCTCGTGCTGCGGCTGATGGTCCGAATCGATGTAACCCAATGGGGCAGGAGAATGGTTCGCATTGCCGATACCCAGTCGGTTTACGATTTCTCTGGCAATATCCTGTTCGTTCTGGGGCACTTGCTGCGGCGCATCAGTCCCTTGGCTTGTCATGATGGCCATGAGCAACGCTTGGAGGACCCGGGTTTCTTCTAGAGGACACTTGTTGGGGGGAGGGTTGCGGGTCCGAAACTTGGGCAACGGTATCGACCGAACCCCCAAATGGTTGGTTTGGATGAGAAGTCTGAGAGGGTTGAGCCTGTACTTGTGGCAGACCATCGTGTGAACCTCCGTCTACCGGCCTGTTTGGAAATTCTTGTGGACAAGGGTTGCTCTGAGACTCGGCTACTGTCTCGTTTGTCCAATGTCGTGGCTCATAATGCTCAGCTGCCGGAGCCGCGGCCATGTGCAGAGTCATGTTCGCTGAGGGAGCGGGAGCAGCGGGCTGATTTAAAGAATCTGGCGGAGAGGGCTCGTGCTGTGGAATTGGTTGTGCCATGCTGAATGTAGCAACACTCGTCGATGATTGGCTCGGCTGATACTGCTGATATGGATGAGGCTGCGGGGACAGGGCCATCTGGACCGAGCATCAGCTGCAGGCTGGCTCATCGATTCCAGGTGAGAGATTTGGGACTCGCCTGAAGCTTGCTGCTGCCCACTATTTGCCAAACCGCTTGAAGGTAGACTCGGTTGATACTGCTGGTAGGGCTGAGGCTGCGAACTAGCTAACAGCCATTATTTGTTGTTGAGCGTTGCTCACAACGGCCGCATGTTGCTGGTTGAGCATTGCCTGATGAGAAGGCTGAGGCTGTGGAACTGGCTGTGGCATTCCATAAGTTGCAGTATTCGGTGGTTGAATTGGCTGAAACTGGAGGGAGGGCTGTGGCTGCGGACTTAGAGCCACTTGGAGAGCATTGGTAACCGTTGCAGCCAGTCTGCTGATTGGGCAATTCCTGCTGTGATAGCTGGAGAATTGGACTTGCTTGTTGAACCGAGTTCATGATTCCACTAGTAGCTAGCGCCTTGATTCTGTACGTTCTGCGCCATTGACAGCTGGCTCGGGGCGGTGCCCGCACCGCCCCCCTGGGCGTGGACTAGAACATGGAGTAAGGCTTGAATGATCTGGCGACCCAGGCTGTCCTGCTGTTCTGCGCTCAAAATCGGAGCCTGTTGCGGAGAGTGCTGGTTTACTTCGAGTTGCTGGTTTACCTGCTGAGTTCCTTGAATAGGCGCTTGCCGCACACAGACATGCAGCAGTATGTTGTAGTAGTTGCGACCACAGCAAAGCTCCCTCCTTCACAGCCAAACAATGCCTGGGATCGATCTTCTACTAACCCTTTATTTGCAGACTACAGTACTGGTATGTACATAGCTACTAGTAGTACGGTGTGCACATGTGACATTTGATCGATTGCATTGATCGATTGCCACCTCCTGAGTCAGATGATGGATGGTGCCTCGATTCTGGTGTTCGCGTGATGCTGCTGGAGCGCATGTGAGTGACAGCAGCTGTTCCTTCGTACGGTAGAATCTCGATGTGGCTCTGCGGATTGGGTTGTTGACAGCTTTGATTGGGATGAGCTAGTTGGGTTGTATGAAAGCAAATACACAAATACATGTAGGTTGACATGTCATCTTCGATTCATTTGAGTTTGGACAACTGAGAAAGTTGGGTTTTCTGAACGTATCTGTCAACTTGGGCTTGTTTGGAACCATTCCAGAGGACCTGTGCTCCTTGCAGAATTGTTCTTTTACCTTGGTCGAAACACCCTACCGGTACCCTGCTTCGTGGCTTTGATTGTACCGGTACCTCGTTTTTGCGTGGATGTGACTGTGCTTGTTCCAATGCTTCTTTCATAGAGACATGAAGCCAGGTTAAGGTATTTTCAAGGGCTATGGGCAAAGGGAGGAATGATGATGAATGATTCAATCCATTCGGAAAGCGAGATCTTGATTGTCTCGAGTTGCCAAGAATCATCCAACCAGGATGAAGAAAAGCCGAGCTCTTATAGCTTCCGACACTCAATCGATGATTGAATCGAATCGAATCGAATCGAATCATTCAATAGAATCGATCGAATCGAATCTGCTCGACCTGTGAATATACAGCTTTGTCAGCTTATTTCTGAAGCATCAAGAGGCAACTCGTAACTCGATCATTTCGAGTGAAAGCAGCAGTTTTACGTTGCTCTTCAATCAGGAACGAGGAGATGTTGAGATCCGCTGCTTCCATCCACCGTCAACGCAGAAGCCACGCCCAACAGGCTCAATGGTGCATCTTCAAGTGTGCCCTCTGCTTGCTCCCTCTTGTTTTGATAGCACTTTTTTTGCACCCGAGGCTTTCTGTCCTGAAAGATACCCCCACTGGGCATCACGGCCACCATCATGGATCTCCCTACAAACTGGAGTTTCGTCAGGTTTCATCACTATCTTCAACAGCCGCTTCATCCGCCAGAAATAATAAGGCAGCTGTGTTCAAAATACTGCAATTGGCCGACATTCACCTTGGAGAAGCCGAAGATACCGATTGGGGACCAAGGCAGGATTCCAAGACTTGGCGACTGATGGATCGAGTCATCACGTTGGAAAGACCGGACCTGATTGTTCTGAGTGGAGACCAGCTGACGGCCAATAACGTCGATCAGAATGCGACAACTTACTATCGACTACTGGGCCAACATCTTTCCTATTACGGAGTGCCTTGGGCCATGGTGTGTGCATTATCACGTAGTATCTCCCGCGATTTGCGCGGAACAGCTGGTGTTCTCACTGGTGCTTCCCCCCATGACGACTTACACATTGCCTCCTCTTTGCTCTGGTTTTACCGCAATTGTATTATTCAACTTCCTCCAATCAATTTTTGTTGTCATCAGATCTTTGGAAACCACGACGATGCCAATCTCTATGGGACCAACGAGACGAAGACCAGCCGTGAAGAGTTACTGGCAATGGATCAGCAATTCCCGCTTTCATTGAGCCAGTCTACTCCTGGTTTGTTTGGGACTAGTAACTATAAGCTCAATGTGCACTATCCTTCCAAGTGGTTTGACAAACCTGTAAAAGGCAAGGACGACGTGGTGTTACAGCTCTTCTTTTTGGACAGTGGTGGGGGCGTGTTGCCTCAAACGTTAGAACAGAATCAAATTCAGTGGTTTCAAAAAGAGCATCGCAGTGATGTCGAAGGAGTCATTGTGTTTCAGCACATCCCCACTGCCGAGTTTGTCTACAGGGATGGAGATGTCTGCCATGGCTTGCACGACGACCCGGTCGATTCCATCCGTCCTGACCCGGGCATTGTGCAAACGTTACAAGAAGCCGGCAATGTCCAATGGCTGGCCTCTGGACATGACCACGGCAATGACTATTGTTGCTCGACCAAATCGAAAGCAAATGTGACAACAAACGGGCAGCAGCATCCTAACGGGAAGAGTCGTCTCCATTTGTGTTTTGGAAGACACAGTGGCTATGGCGGCTATGGACAGTGGTCAAGAGGTGCTAGAGTGTACGAAATTTCTTTGCAGCGTAAGCAAGAACAATCGTCCACGGTCGACATGGCGTTGTCATGGAAGTCTTGGGTGCGCAATGAGACAGGCAGCGTTCTAGATCCATATGAGCCCTTCGAGGCATCTGCCGGCCCATGAGTGGCGGTGTGGCCAGTTGCTGCGTCTTGAGACATATTTGCATGTCGCCTCGATGGATGTCTGGGCGGGACTGACCTGAATAAGGATATCAGAGGCGACTGATCTAAGGGATGACATCACATCCAAGACAAAAGGTCTTTCAAATGATGACTTCTTCCCGGTGTCTGGTTTGGCGCGTGATGTCGCGGGCAAACGCTTCAGCCACATGTGTGGCTGGAGTTCCTACAAGAACTGCATTGACTTCGAATAGATGATGGCTTGCTTTGACTCGACAACCTCATGGAGTTGTAACTTCCAGCAAGCTTCAACTGTCAACATTGGCATATGCACCCCATCGGCTGAAAGAATCTCTTGCTTGAGACGTGTAGACTTCAGTCTCCACTCTGTGGTTGTTACACTGTTGGTGCATGCCATGCGGCCAGACAAGCAAAAGCAAGGCCTTTCTCATGAGTGAAACCAAATACGTTTCAGCAGCAGGACTGCACGCTGCAAAAAGCCAATTTACATACTGCTGTAGGCAAGTGTTGTGCCAAGCCGAGCTGCATGGATACGAACAAACATTGTTAGCCTCTGGGAGCGACGCTTTTGTGGAGAATCAAAACTGCCCCAATTTTGTAGGTTCGTGCTCCCTGGGGGAATCTTGTGCCAGAATAGCTGGTTTATGCTCATCGCTCTTCCTCTAGAGCGGCTCAGCATGCTGTAAAATTATGAAGTAAGCAACCGCAAAACAGCTCCGAGGCCGGCCAACCACCGGTGGCTAGCTAGCTCGTAGGCAGAGCCAGCAATCTCAACATCCCATCCCTCGGACTTGATCAAACTAAACCCGGTTTGTTCAGAAAGCATTGAATCGAATCATCGAATCCATCGAGTTGAGGAGTACCAATAGGGTCTCAGTCGAGTCCGGAGTCCTCCATCATGATCCTTCGCGTGTGCAACAATGATGACGTAATCTAATCCACCACGGCACGGTCAAACGGGTGACGACGACTGTCCGAACAATGAATCAGAATCGGAAGTGGTACGAAGCTCTGGTAATGGCACTCTCATCACCAAGCATGGTACCGTTGGCAAAAGAAAGCATTCTGTTCCCTTGAGCTGGATTCTTTGTTCTCATCATGCAGAGCAGCCGAAAGTAATGCCATTGCACAAACTATCAGACAAAGGAAGAGAAAGACCATGGGTATCAACAAATCAGTTTGTCTCTTTGTGCCATTGGGCATCTGTCTTGGCCCCCTTGCTGCCGATGCATTTGTGGGATCCCCGAGCCGAGTCCGCCTGTTGGGGCCAATCCATCACCATGAACAGGCGTCATTTCCAAGCAGCAGCAGCAAGACAGCGAATTTCCTGCAAACAAACGTGAATCCTTCTGATGCCACCAGACTCTTCATGTCTACGAAAGCAGCTGCCACCAAGCGCACTGGAAGGAAACGCCTTGCGACAGCCATGGCATTTTTGACTGGATGGGCCAATCTGACCATTTTCACCAAATTCAAGACATTTGCCTCCATGATGACGGGCAATTCCATGTGGATGGCCGTTGCTTTGACAGAGAAAAACTTTGTCGATGTGGCCTACTATCTCTCGGTATTGGCGGCGTATTTGTTTGGCACGGCTTTGTTTCGTCGCACTGACTTATCCTACCGAAAGCAAACATTGCCTGTCTGCGCGGCCATGACGGCCGGTTTGTTTGTATTGGGAGACTTGATCCACTACAAATATCTAGTTGGCAGCAGGTGGATCCCCATGCTTCTGTTTTCTACAGCATTTGGAATAACCAACTCTTTGGGTATGGAGGTCACCGGTACACTCAACTTTGTCATTACAGGACACTACACAAAACTAATCAACACTCTGGTGGATCGAGTTTCCAGAACTGCCGGACGAAAGCGTCTCAGCGAGGCACAGCGCAGCGTAGTCGCACAAAATGCAGCAATTATCGGAGGATTCTTTGGTGGCGCCGTGTTTGCCAGCATACTCATGGCTTGCAAGCTATTGGATCGCTTTGGGGTCTTTTCTGCCATTGGTTTGATACATGCTGTTCTCTGGATGATACACGACATGGAAGCCTTGGGAGGGGCTTGGTGGTTGCGAAGAGAAGGAGCCATGTGTGATATCACCGATGATGGGGAATTGTGCGATCTCCCAGAAGACGAGGAGGGCAAAGCAATCAACGGGAAGTCCACGGTGGGCACTGCTGCCGCAGGAGCTGTTCCTGTGACGGGTTCTACCAGCTAGCTGCTTTCTAGCTGCCGGGTCAAACCCTGAACATGCACCACGTCCCTCACACACACAAAAAGAGATGGAGAAACAGATTCTGACAAAGGTTCCATGTGGGTTCTGCATCTGTGACAGCTTTCAAGTGGGAAAGAGCTACATGTAGTTGTCGTCAGACTGAAATGGAACTTTGGACCTGCCGATGAACCTCGATCTCGATGTCGCTCACAGTCCAGCATGTTGTGAAAGACTTAAGCCGCGGAATGCCTGCTGCGAAGGTTCCATCTGGGCTGAAAGCACTCTTGATAAGGGTATCAAAAAGTAAACGACATGCGAAAATCACCAAACAAGCATCACTGTCCTCTTTTTGCCTTCTTTGATTTTAGGATCTTAATCTACGACCGTCTCCCATTCGTACATGTAGCATTGGAATTGCGGCTGGGCTCCTTCTGCCTCACAAAAAGTTTGGAAAGCCTTCATTGTTTGGAGACAGTGGATTCGATAGGGCAATCAGGCGCCAACTTCCTTTCTGTACTACTAGCTAGCTAGGTACTGAGTACCTAGCTAGGTACTCTAGACCTACAATTGGATCAACGAACTGGATCAACTCCCGGACCTTCAAAGGCATCAATGCACAGAACGAGGCGATGCCTGCCTGGCCGGTTCCAGCTGTGGGACCTATCTCACCAGGCCTAAGCAGCTACTCCAGGGGGGGGGGGCACATGTGCCAACCACAGGGAGGAGCAAGACCTGGGCCAGCGAGGCAACGAGAACACCTCATAGCTAGCAGGGCCATTCCCTGTACCGCTATCGTAGTCGGACTTTAGAAGACCAACAGGCCCAACATTGACAAATACTAGAGTAATCTCGAAGCTCTGCATACGCTGGGATCTTATGGCCGTGCCCACCATACGCTGGGGTCTACTTATTACGGTACTGCTTAGATGCCATGCATCTTTTCCAGGCTTGCTTGAAGAGAAGTGCTGCGTACTGGGTAGCCTACAAGCAGTTGTCGTCCTCTCAAACATTGACGGGAGCTCAACGGGTGGCATCTGTAATCTTTCATCTTTCATCTTTCATCTCCACCGAATCAAAATTCGTACCCTGCCCTAATTACTGAGCAGTTAATTATGAATCACGGAAGTTCAAACTTGTTCATAAGATTCTCAATTCGGTGAAAACGATCCTTTAGAAGGTAAATTTAGGCCTTCTTATAGATGAGTGCAGTTTCATAATGACCAGTTACAACATGTCATGTGAACTGTAGCTGTTCTCATACGGTACCGTACTTACTCGAGTGGTAGTGAAGAATTAGTAACGTACCAGTACACTGTTCTCCAGTGGAACAGGGACAGCGTTGTGTTCGGGAAAGCGGTCCTACTGTGGTACCACAGCCAGTTTGACAAGTAAGTGGTGAAACGGTGAAACTGTAGTTTCAATTCACGTTTTCTATTTCACGTTTTCGTGAAACTACATTTTTAGTTTCACATTTGTGAACAAAGTGAACCAAAATTACAAAAACAAGCTTTTTCACACAGAACATGGTGTGAAAATATTATTACATTTTTCCCTGTTGCCAGCTTCAATCTTACACATTTATTTTTTGATTTCACATCTAGGAAACTGTCAAAAATCAAATAAAGCCATGTCTCCGAACCTTGATGTTGTATTTACAAGGTTCATGCATTGGCTCAATAAATTTACATCGATTTCCCCCCACGTTCTCATACCGTTTTTGACTTTGAAAACCATGACCAGAGCTGACCAGAGTGACCAGTTGTTAATGCGTGCTCATCCCCTCATCCCCTGACGCTCAAAGCTCGCCTCGATGGCCACGGGGAGGTTCTTTGATGCCGCTTCTCAGTACTCGAAGTAAAAGAGAAGAAAAAGAATGTTCTTCGCTGGCACCGTGTTACCCCGCCTTTATGTAGGATGTCTGTAAGATGAGTGAAAAAAGTCATTGTTATGCTAGTTGGCTATTGGATCCAAAAAGAACAGCTCGTTTTACAAGCTGTCCAAAAGGCCAAAAGGGCTCACGCACATGGCTCATGGCTCCATGGCTCACATGAGCTTACAGACCACCTGATTTCCCCCACACCTCTTCCAAAACCCGTCATACATCACACAATTTCAGCCATCAACCAACCACAAGCAAGCAACCAAAACAACAAACCCAAAATCGCAGCATGACGTTCCATCCTCAACAGGACACCGAATATGAAATACCAACCGTGGTGTACATTCCTGAAACAACTCTTCTGAGTCGGTGGGATCCTGCTCCAGCCAACAGCGAAACCAAGACGGTGTCATGGCGTGGAGATTCTCAATCGAGTCTCATGTCCGATATTAGTGCCGTTCCCGAATCCACAGCAACGCCTCCAAGGGCTCCCCGAAGAAGTTATAGTCCACCCCCCAAGGCAAGGAAACATCACGAAGTTTCCAGAAACAGTGGTGTCGACATTGGCTCTGTTCCTCTTGTCCCAGTAGAGTTCGGCTCTGACAATGGCAAGGTTGTGCCCTTGATGGAATGCAAGAGCTCCCTCTCCAGTGTGTTGGAGTCACAAGCTGGAAGACCCAATGGACAAGTTACAGCAGTCTTTTGTATCCGGCGAGAAGGCTGTGGCTCATGTCGTGACCATGGCAACCAGTTGAAAGAGCTGTACGAACAGTTCCCTCACCTAAATCTCTTTGGAGTCATCAAGAACGCTCCCATCAAGAATGACGCGGCGCTTAGTGAATTCTATTCCAAACATTTCCCATTTCCAATCTATAGAGACGATCAATGGGATACATTCAAGTTCCTTGGGAATCGAAACCTGTCCATTTGGAAAACGCTCAAGTGTGGCAAGAAACTCACAAAGAGATACAGTGACTGCAAAATCAAGAATGCTCTGATTGGAGGAGATCATTTCACACAAGGTGGAATCTTATTGTTCGACAAGAATGGGATGCTTCGATATGTCTACTATGAAAGATACGGAGACAGGTTGGACGTCGATGCCTTGAAATGGGCCATTCGAGACTGCGAGGAAGGACCAGGAAACAATACCTTGTTGAGAGTCGAACGACCCCCCAAACTCCCAAAGAGACATGTCAGTAGAGACAACTTTGATAAAGCTGTGCGTCGTCCAAGAAGACGTCTCTCGCCAGCTGCATAAAAAAAGTTAGCCAAGCTTGTTGGAATACTGTTCTACCGGCTAGCTGGGCTATAGCTACTCCCGCCTTCAAACGACCATAACCAGCAGGAACCAAATAGAAGCCACTGTTGAGCTAACAGGAGATGCAGATTTCAGCTCTTCGCTTTTGCAGTTTCGTTTTGCTTTTGAAGCCTTCTTCGTCAACTACGTACATCTCAGTCCTACACCTAGAATTTTGTGATAGCTATCGGTGTTATCAGACGGGGAGCACCTGATGAAGCACTCCACACGGGAGTTGCTGCCGGGAGCTGGAGGTGTGTCTCAGACCACGAACACCTTGAGGCATCAATTAGTTGTCGTTGCATCTCCGTATGATATGTCTATTTCTATTTCTATTCTGCTATATTATAGCAACATACTACATGTAGCTAAAGTACCGAAGGATGCTAGCTAGGCAGCGCACGTTGGCGATATCAGGGCAGAAAGAGGGACGTTCTCAACAGAGGAGAAGTACTTCCATGCAACTTGCCATGGATCGTTGGTGCGGCAACATTTGGTTGCGGCGTACGTCTCAAGCCTGCCAGGTACAGGCCGTCAAAAAGTCCCGCGGGTTGAAGGATGGTGAACGGATCATCGACCACTACCCCGGTACCGTGCCGGTGTGGGTCTGTAGCGTTGGTTGGGACAGGTCGTAATGTTTGCACACCACTGATGACCTTATCGTTCTTTCTGCAATGTCGGTTGCTGGGTGGTAGCCAAGGGTCTTTTCGTCAGCAATCTTTCACCTCTGACTCTTCCTCATCAATGTCGCCTTCCTCGCGCTTTTCTTCTGATTCTCGCCGCCCTTCGGGAGCCTTCTTCTGCTCCTCGTCAGCACGACGCGACGACAGGTCGCCGTCATTGCCCTCTCCATCGTTGACAGCTAAATGTCGTTTCGAAGCCGACAACGACACGTCTTCATTGGGCAAGAAAATCCCGGCCCGTTCCATAAATGGCTCCAGCTCCAAGCCTTGTTCATGTAGGACAACTGCCTCCAAGGCACGAAGTCGAGTTATCCACATGCTTTTTTCAAACTCACCCCCCCTGCGCGAACCGCTCGCACCCATTGGATTGCTGGTACTGGATCGAATGAACAGGTCATCTGCCATGTTGTGAACAGAAAACATCTTTGGGATGAACATAAACATCAGGACTGTCATGCTCAGAGTGAACACGAGAACTGCAAAAGAAAGGTAATTCCAATACGACAGGAGAGCAGCAATACATGAGCATGTTGTGCGCCTGCAAAGTTTATCAGATGTTTCGGGAACATGCATACCTGTTTTAACAAAGTAGCTCGCAACAGGATGCGTGTAGGCAACGGCCACCAGCGGACATCCAACGGCAAAGATCTGAACAGCACCCAGCATCATGATGAAGATGTACCTCGTCTCGCTGAATTGTAGCTTGATCCAACGCGCTCTGTACGCTTGAACAGCCGTCAGTATTGCAACAGCCATGTTCACCAACAGGACCAAAATTCCCATTGCAACAGAAACGTTTGTGTTTCCTATATTGCAATATCCATGCGAGCTTTCATCACCGCTTCCGCAGATTGGGACTCTAATCCACTGCATGGGATCCACCACAGTCCACACGAACAAGCAAACTACATTCACCAACAGCAGGAGCGACGCCGCTTTCATGCTACGCCAAACGCTAATTTCTCCCCTCTTTCGAAACTTCCTTGCGCTTTCGACCAACACCGTGATCCTCCACAACTTTGCAAACAATGCTTGGGGGGTGCAAGAAAAAAGCAGTATGTGAGTGGAATGATGCCGTTGTGATAGGCGTGACACGCAATTTCCTGCCTTACCTGCAAAAATAACCGTGAAGCCCGTAGATGCCAACCAAGGAACGCTGCAAGCGAACAACACGACAGAGCTAGATGAGCGTCCCATTTGCGTCATGACAGGTTTCAGCAATGGCTGGACATACCTCATGCATGCTTTGTTGCAACCTTCCTCGTCAAGAATACTGTCATCGAGGCTCATGGGAATGATCGAAGATGTCAAGACAATGGTACCAAAACAGATGACGACCAGAAAGAAGGGCTGGGAAGATTGGAGACGTGGATGGTGGCGATGTCGAAAGACCCAGCCAACAAAGAACAAACTCGTGGCAAAAGATATTCCTGGGAGATGCAGGAAAAAGCAATGTGTTAGCGGCCTGCTGCCATCATGGTGATGTGATGTTGTTATGTTATGGGCACTTACCAGCAATAGTGAACCCAAATGGCCGTACACTCGCCAGTTGATTCATGTCGTTTTGGTTTGGTGGAGCACACACTTTAAAAACGGTTTCCACACATTGGATTGTTTCCGAAGGAGGCGCTTCCTCGAGAAAACGAGGGCCGGTCTCCATATTGAAATTGACCAGTTTTTGCCCTGTCGTGGCATACAAAGTCAGGAGCCACACGGGAAGGGCACCCTGCAACGGTAGGTCTTGATCGATTCCGAACAGTAGATCCCCCTGTTCAATGCCATCAAAGACTTTGCCATTGATATCAAAGGTCCCAACCAACGCCTGTGGATGTTCTGATTTGATTTGAATGGCTTCTTCCACAACGGCATCTCCAAGCGCCAAAACACCCAAACCTTCCCAGTCGCCTCCATGACCCACGGCCGCTCGTATTTCTTGTAGATTGAGTGCTTTCCGATCTCGTTCCACCGGAACCGCGCCTAAATATGTCACTCCCTGGTCTGCCGATTCGGCAATGGCGGCACCAAACCCTTCACACCGTCTTCGCAATGACACATTGTCTATTTCGTGTATGGGACACAAGCCCTGTTTCATTCCAGCATCAATGAGCCGTTTCCCACCACCATACCCTGCCACGTATTCCAGCTGTCCCACATGATGCAACAGACCCAAATTGGCCGAAGTATAGCTGCCAACGTTAATGGATACAATGGGCACCTCCAGATCGAGACATTCTTGAAGAGCCGGCACAATCTCATCACCATTGGGAATACTGACAAAGAGTCCGTCGACCCCTTGTCGGCAGAGTGCCCGTATCCGGGCCGCCATTTTGGAGGTTGGCAACGACCCCGATTCCGGACTGAGTAGTTTGAAATCCACCTGCACTCCCAAATCTTTGGCGGCTTGCTCGGCCGCCGCCCGTGGCTGATCGGCCCATTTATCGCGCTGCGTCCCATGAATGACACCTCCAATCCGGATTCGACTTCGGTCCGTACAGGGGCATCGGGATTCCGTGACTCCATTTGGCTGGTACTTGTTGGGACAGACGGGAAAGGCATCGGCCTCGCAGATTTGTCGTGTATCAGAGGGCAATCCTTCCAAGTTGATGACTTTTGGTCCGCTAAAATGGACCCCGTATTCGGATTGAAAGGGCGGTTCCAATCGTTTGTGTTGTGTCGCATAGAGTGTGGCCATCCATACTCCCAGCGATCCTTGTAGATAGTGTTGTTGACTAATGGTAAAGCTGAGTTTTCCAATGGCAATGGCGTAATAATTTTCAATGCTGACATCAAAGGTTGCCAAGCGAGTGCTTTCCAAGTTGCAGGAATTTGCATATAATGCTCTTGTGGCTGTCTCCAAGGCGGAGGAGGAACTGAGTAGCACGACATTGTAGGGACATCCCTCAAAGGCTTGCCGTAATATTTTCGATGCGTTGCCGTCATATTCGAGTTCACTCAAGGATATTTCGCTCACTTGTATGGTTGTCGTGGTTGTGGTTGTACTATCGCTGGTATTGTTGCCAGAAGATGTACTACTAGTACTACTCTGTCGCTGCAGCAGCGTATCTCGAAATCCTTCAAACCGCTGATCCAGAGCTCGATTTCCCTTTTCCGTGTTGACAAAGAGAGCTTTGGAAATGTCTGCTGGTTGTCGTTGTCTCATTAAGAATTCTTCGGCTGCCAGCTGTCCTCCCAGATACTCGTTCATGGCAATGAATCCCAACAGGCCGAGTTCTCGTGCCGATTCATAACCACTGTTGATTCCAAACACGGGCATGTGCGCCAAGGCCGTTCGAATGGCATCGTGGACGACCACCGAGGGAACCGTCACCAATAAGGCATCGGGTTTTTTATTAGTAACAGTAGTAGTACTGTCACTATCCGAGGAAGTGGCGACTCGTACAATGTCTTCGGCCATTCGTTGTGGATCAAAGTCTTCGTACAAATCAAAGATCAATTCGACGCGAAGGTCCTTGGCCGCTTGAACCGCTGCTGCCTTGACTTGCAACCAAAATTGACTGTTCTGGGTGCCATGGACAATGGCTTGAATGGTGTAGGATGGACGTTCAATACAAGGATCACAATCCAGAGGCCGAACGGCTTGTTGTCCACTGCCACAACAAACTTGGAGAAGAAGCAGAAGGAATAGTAGCCACAGCGACCACCCGCATCTTGCGCCTCGACGAAGGGTCCTCATTGCCCCTTACAAGAAGACAAACTACTGCTGCTGTCTACTAGTAGTAGCTAGCTAGACTAGCCACAGACAACACAAGGACGAGAACCACAACAACAACAACAGAGCAACATAGGAGAAGAAAGTAATGTAACAGCGCAGACAGATAGATGCGTACAACGTTGCACCCGTGCTTCATTCACGTACTGTACCGCTTTACTGCGTGGCTGTACCGGCACTGCTGTTATGCTGTTATCCGGTGAGGCTGTTCGTTGCTGTGTTGCTGCGTCGTCTGTATCTAATTCGAATCGAATCTACCGTAAGTTAGTCGAATAGTTGTCGAATTTTGTTGTTCGAATACACTCACTCACCACCACCACCTTCTTAGATCTATTGCCACTGCCTCCTCTACACTCTACTCCTCAGGAACTACCCCTGCAGACCCCCTGGCTGGCCTCTTCCAACCCCGCCATTTCAATGCACCCCTTGATCCCTTCCCCCACTACCTTCAAGCCGGTATCACTTAGTCACTTACCCCCCTACTAGCTAGTGTAATTCCATAGTAATCTATATATATACCACCACTCGATCTCCTTGTGTTCTTGGAATAGTTGACGTTGTTGCTGCTTGATCTACTATCATATCATACCATGGCAACGGCATCTACTACTGGTACTGGTTCAGTCAAAGAGATTGGACGCATTGTTCGAAAGAAGAAATTCCAACGTCATGTCAGCCTCGCCATTCGCAACGACGGAGCCGTCTCGGTCCCGGTCCTCGTCGACCGCGAATCTTCGTGTCTTCCATGGTGCTGCTTGGGGGCGTGGATTGAAGTCGAGGGAGTCCCGTCCAAAGACGGAAAACACATCATGGCAGCTCAAGTGACACTGATACAGTGCGCTCCGGATCCCAACGCGGTACTGCTGTGTCTGAAGCTAATGACAATTAACGACGACGACCAACAACAACTGCCTCTGCACGTCTTGTCATGCAAGACGCAGTTGCAATCGCTGGATCAAGTGACAGAAATTCTACAAGCCAGTCGAGACGTTCAGCGAAGAGAAATCGCACAATTGGTCCGACAATTGAATGGATTGGATGCCAAACGAATAGCCTGTCAGAGAAAACCACATACACGCCAACGGCATTTGAAACTGCTCGAGAGAATCGAAGGAGCGGTGCCCTTGATGGAAATTGTCGTCAAAAATGACGATGTCAAAAACAACGATGAAGGAACCAATTCAACAGTGGATCCACACGAAGTAGTAGTAGTGGAGCTTCCTATTATCAATCTTCCACAGAACAATGACCACAATGACAGCCATCATGATGACGTGCCAAGCACGGAGCGATTGGAGTATCTGAGACAAAAGAAATGGCCTCAGATTCAATGGATACTCCAACGGTTGTCTCATCAAATGGGGGGCGATTTTCGTCACGTCTTGGATGTGGGTGGGGGGCGCGGCGATCTAGCAGTGGCCATTGCCAGAGCCTTTCCCACGGCACATGTCACGGTAGTGGATCAAAATGAACCATCCTTGGAGGCTGGAAGGGAGTATGCGCGACAGCTGGGGTTGTCGGTTGCGACGAGTAGTTCAAAAGAAGGAGAAGAAGAAGCAACTATGGGGCAAATGAGATTTCATTGTGCCAACTTTGCGAGCTTTGTGGAAGAGTATCATCATCAGGTCCATCAAGAAAATCAACCAGAAAACCAAAACAACAACAACAACAGACCAATTGATGTGGTAGTGGCGCTCCATGCCTGTGGAGACCTGTCGGACTTGGCACTTCAATTTGCACACAGAATACAAGCAAAATTTACAATTTGCCCCTGCTGTTACACCAAGCGATACATTGGCCAATATGAACCTCTATGGATGCAACACTACAAGCATTGTTTCCAGCAATCAACTGGTGTTGTGCCTCAGGAGACACCATGTGAACCCAACAACAAGGACAATCTACCAGTAGCTGGTGGCTGCAATGACTCATTGGATGACGAACCACAACAAAAGAACAAGGAGTACAATCCGTCTTCTGACGAACAAATTGCAGTTGTCCAGAGATTGGCAGAGCTCAATGAAAGTCCAGAGGTGTCCCACAGAGCGATGCATGTCATCAACTCGCTGCGGCTGCAATCTCTCTTTTCTCAAAAGGATTGCAATGATGACACAACTGATGATCAAAGAAGCAGGAAATCTCATTCACAAGTATCCGTGGAGTTGCAAGAATACCATTCAAAGATTTCCATGAGAAACATTGTCTTGGTTGGTAAATAAGAAAAGGAAAATGACGTGTGTTGTTTGCCATGAAAAAGGGGAGGGGGGAATAGTTAGTAAATCGCTATTGCCAAAGGCCAATGAAAATTGCTGAGTTGCTTTGTTAGACAACTCCTTTGAACTCGAGGACCGTCAGGTGTTTCAATGACATGAGCTGGGAATCCTTCCTTAGACTTTCCCAAAAATGGATAAAGACTTTGGGACTTTTGGGGGGGGGGGGATGATCCATTACCCATTGGCATGATGGTATGTGGTTTATATGTATCTTGATCTAATCTTCAACGCATTAAATATTCAAGACAAAGACTATGACTCCCCAATGTCACTGCCAAGACAACAGGAGGGAGTTGGTTTGTTGCGTATTACAGGCTGAGCCCTAAAATAAAATGGTTTCAGCAGGGCAAAATTCTGCACCTAGAGGGCGCACCCGTCGGTGGCAAATATTCTGCACCTCGGGGGCACACACCTCAGCGGCAAAAAATCTGCACCTCTAGTACCGGTAGACTGCACCTCGGTGGCAACAAATCTGTACCTCTGGGGCACGCACCTTGGTGGCAAAAATACTGTACCTCTGCTGTGCGCAAATTTTCTGCGCCTCTGCTAGCCAGCTAGATGATGTACCTTAGCTAGCTGCAGGCATAGCTGGTAGGGGCTACATGTACGCAGCTCAAAAGGATCAACCACCAGGACATTTGTGATTTGTGAGTTACCGCTTTGCTGTTGGTAGTACTGAAACCTCTGGTTTGCTTCCTTGACAACAGCAAGATTTTGATTTACCATGCCTGCGATAAAAACAAGATGCTCTTCCACCGTGGCTTGTAGCATCTTCATGTTGCTCGTTCTGAGTGTATCTGTATCAGCCGTGGGTTTGGATGCAGTGGGTGAAGATCCCGTTAGCTAAGCCTGAGGCCTGGACATTTGGATGGGAATCCATTGTATCCTTTCACTTTCCCTTGGCTCGTCGGGGCAGGATTGGATGCACAGCTGTCCATTGCACGTGATAACCTCAAGAAGAAAAATTCCAAAGGAAGACCCTGCAAAGCATGTGTGGCTTGGTCGACGCTTAGCCTACAAGTGGCTGCACCAGGAAGCACTCTCCGTGCACGCTAGACTACTCTACTCATAGCATACTCCACTTGCTAGCTAGCTAGCTAGGTATGCTGCATTGTTACATTGTTACATCTTGGGTAAGGTCAGTGCACAGTTTTCTGCGAGGCCTACTACCTGGTAGGACAACCAAGAAAAGCCAATCTTTCTTCCGCCTACACGTCCTATGGACCACGTAGATCGTCACGTTTTGTTGTTTGTCGCAGTGTTGTCAAAAGCTGTGTTATTAATTAAGACTTCGACCCCGCTTGCAGTCGCAGGACAAAGGTTGAACCCAGTACTCGGTCTTGGGAAATGCACTTCTAAGAATAGCGATGAGATGGCTACCACTACGGCATAAACCATTGAGGAGTTGCTTGTTAAAAGTCAAAGCCATGTTGAAACCATTCACTTTTCTTGTACCAGTACGGTATGCAATGCCAACGTTTGTTGAGTCGAGTCGGGACAACTGTCATTGATACGTCTGAGAAAGATACGACAATGACGATTTTGAGATGTCGTCTAAAAGTCGTATCATGGTAGATCTGAACATACTGAACACAGCACACAGTACTGAATGATAAAAACACGAGCACTCAGGTGTCAGAAACTTCTGACGTACACCTTACTGTGAATTTTTGTAGGATGGTACCGGTACTCGTTACGTTTTGATAATGAAGCTATCGTCTTATCGCCATAAGTAGCTCTACGCGAAGAGTGTCTGATTGCGAAGCGCTGGCCATGTACGACGTTTCAGTAATCCTATATTTCGGGTGCTTCGGTCTCTTCCCAAACTTTTGTCTTTTGCTCCCTCGGCGCCTCGTCACCCCGACAGTAAACACAACCACAAACAACAAAGTCACATAACCAAGCAGAAACCTATAAGTAACCTCCACACTACTAGTATCGATGCTACGTACCTCCAGAGACAACAGCCAAACCACCATCAGTCCACATCCTTGCTCATGGCAGGCAATGAAGAATCAGGCAGCGACGAAGACGCGATGTCGAGAATCCGCCTTCCTCGTGCAAATGGTGCGTAGAAGCAGTACTGAATGTGCAGTAGGACAAGCGAAGAATCAACCTCGGGAATAGACTACAACTTATTGTTTTCTTTCTCTATGCCCTCCGTTGTTGTCCCAACTCTTCCACTGTGCATTGATATCTCTATTCGCGACCTATAGATGTCCTCTGTGGAAGGTAGGCAATCTGCTTAGTCAACTTCTGAAGGTGCTTCTGATCTTCTAAATTTGCCTTCTTGCCTTCAATGACTAATAGAGGAGGTCACGGCACGTCCCATCCGGGCAATCTCGGTTTTCGTATGCTCGTAGAAAAATACAAACCCAAGTTTCAGTCAGCTCCCCGTTCTGAAAAGTCCAAGATAGCCACAGCGGTAGTCATGGCATGGCGGAAACAGAATCCTCCAGGTCGTTTCTTGTCTCTCTCAAGCGAATCCAGAGGCGGTGACAATCTTTGGCATGACATTGGTGACAAGCTTGCCACTAGAAAGGCCAACCAAGGGCTCAGAGAGAAGGGGCCCAATCCTGGTCACCTTGGCATAGCGCCTCCTCCCCCTCCTTCGGCCGCGGCTGCTCCAAGTTCTGACATATCCTCCGTGGCAGCAGTTGCTACTACCAACGTCCCTCTTGTGCAAGGATATCCCTCAGCTGTGGCACCGCCTTACAGTGCCATGCTTTCCCCGGCATTGGCAGCAAGTGCTACGAATATCCCACTACCGCAGGGATATCCTTCGGGTGCCTCGGTTCCAGCCGTTGCCGGTGGTGTTGCAATTCAACAGGGCCCACAAACCAAAGCTGTTCTAGGTATACACAAGGCTCCAATTGCCACGACATCCTCGTCAAAGGCAGCAACTGCTCCCAACCTCCCTCTCACACACGGATATCATTCGGCTGCCCCTGCCCCTGTCGCCCTATCCCCAGCGTCTGCAGCCATAGCTGCCGATATCCAATCGGCGCAACATTCTTCTGCAGGGATGCACAAGAAGCCGGAGGCTAGGGGAGCCGAGGGATCATCAAGTGGCAGGGGAAATGCCAAGCAACAAAACGCTGCCAAGCGGGAAGCACGTCGAGGGAAAGGAGGACAAGCGAAACAAAGCATACACAAGCAACATCAGCAAGAACGCGTGGATATGGACGGCAACGTTCACCGGAGAGTCCAAGATGCAGAACAGCAGATTCAACAAATACAGTTCCAAGTTGCCCAGCAAGCTATGCAAATACAAGCTCTGCAAGCGCTGCAGATGCACCAGCACCGACAACAGCTTCAACAGGTCCCACAATACCCCCAAAACCTGCAACAGCAACCTCCATCTCATTCTAGTCAACCAATGCAGCAGCAGCAGCAGCCACCTAGGCAATCCCAGCAAGCAGTACCAGTACAACAGCAGCAGCCACCTACGCAATCCCAGCAAGCAGTACCAGTACAACAGCAACCGGTGCAAGAACGGCCGCAGTCAAGTCTCCTTCGACATCAACTGGAAATGTTCAATGCAAGCCACCAACAGAGTGTAAACGCCAATGGAGAAGCGACAGCGTACTCTTCCTCAGGAGCATCATCTGACAGCCCTGTACCGGTGTCAACGAGCACAGGCCGTGGTGCAGCTTCTTCGTCATCCGAGCCGTATGGGGAGCCGAACACCGGTAGCAGCAGTGGACAAGAGGCGCAGTCGTCGTCCTCGGAACCATGTGCGGACATTGGTGCCCCAGTCGACACTGACGACAGCGAGTACAAAGCTCTAGATCGAGCGTCATTTCCTCCAGCTGCCAAACTTACGAAGCACGCCTTTTCTTCCTCAGACGAGGATCGGAGTCGAAACAATACCTTCGACGGGGTTGACGGCGAAAGTTCCGACGAAAACAGGTCAGGGGATGATGGCAGGGACGTACCGTCGAAATCGAAAGCACGCGATGATAACTTGTCTGATACAGAGAGCAACAAGACAGGGAGCATGGAAGATGGCGGCGAGAGTGGCGGAAGTGTCTCAGGCGGTGCTGGAAGCAGTGGTGGGGAAGCAGACCGGTCCTCTTCATCTTCTTCCGATGAGCAGCAACGACGCAAGCACAAACCCTCCAAAATGTCAAAACGCCAAGGAACCAGACTGCCAAGGCCTAACTCGCACGGTTGAGGCAGATTCTGAGTCACCTTCTTAGTGCGGATGCTGCAATGGTTGGACCATGACGACTTGCTTGAAGCTTTGAGTGAAGAGGATAGAAGTGAGTCAAGATCCTGTTTGCTGGAGCATGTAGAGATCAGCTAGACTAAACTATAAAAATGGAATTTTTCGCATTCGTGGCATGTTTCAAAGCAAGCAGAATTCAATCATTGAATCATTTCAATCGAATCTGCTACCAAGCCAACCACGCAATAGGTGGAGACACAAGCTTCAGGCGGCTTGTTAGCAGTAATCACGGTAGCACTATTCGGGCGTCCCCGATTATGCCGATTACGATACTCACTCTCTTGTTGAGAGCTGCGAGAGAGGAAAAGGTTTGGAGAAAAGGCCGGAAAATTTGAGTGCGCCGAGTGGGGCTTGCTCGCGGGGTACGGTGTTTTCAACGCCCAACGAAGCTCCATGTTCACAACAACTCATCAATGAGCAACCCTGCAACACTGCAGTTGAGCAAGACAAAGACTGCCAAGGCTCTATTGAAAGGTGGGCGCAATTGATTAGCGTCCTCTCCATCGTAGCTCCAAGCACTTTTGTTGGATACAACGGCGCTGCCTTGTCGTAGAGCGTCAAAATGGAACGAATAAGACGGCGGCGAAGGCCAAGTCGACGCAACACAGCAGCTCTGGTGTTGTTAGTTTGGTGCTTCGCACTCGGATCAGTTCTCGCGGACGCATATGAGCCGTCACCAGCATTGCGTGGAACCAATGAACCTGACGGCAGTGTTAGGAGAGGGATGCAAAGAGTCCGAAAAAGGTTGAGAAACGAGGCCGGCCAAAAGAAACCAAGGAAGCTTGGGTTTCGCACCTCTGACAATGCCGACAAGCCCAGGCTGAGCAACAACATCTTCCTTAATCGAGAGTACGATGTAGAGCTTGAAGAGAATATGGAAGAAGTTCGAGAGAATAAGGCAGAAGTGGTGAGGGAGCCCAATAGGAACAACCCCGCAGAGGACCGCTTGCCGCAGAGAGGAGTGGTCAGTCCCTACGAGTTGGGGGCCACAGGCTACGGGTACATTTTGGGAGGGCACGATCGTGACCCAAGCGCCTTGGGTCAATACCGCCACAATAGAAATTTTGAAGGCTTTAAAACTGAAACCTCTCACGAATCAGAAGATGCTCAATATAGCTCTCGAGATTTCTACAGTGTCGAAGACAGCGAAGATGCACAGGTGGGAGAACAACCACTACGATCTTCGCAGGAGGCTCTGGCTGGTGGACGAAAGCACATCGGAAGACAGGGTGTAAAAATGAAGGGCGCAAAGGTCGGCGGTGCGAAGGCAAGAACAGCTGGAGACAGTGAAATGCCGATTCCCGGTCTTGAGGAATTCACACCGGTAAACAGACCAAAGGGCAAACTCCCGGATTCAAGAACTGGTAGTTCTCTTGGAGGACGACCTCCTAATAGCTACAGAGCCAACAATGATCCCGACGAAAAGGCCGCGGAACTCCAAAATTCAGAGGCGTTTGAAAAGTCGAACGGAGAGATGACCCCCATTGACAATACGGAGGCCTTCGAACAGTTTCCAGGACCTGAAGATATGTCATTAATTGAACCCGCAGAAGCGCTCCAGCTTATCCCAATGCCAGACACGTCGACAGAAAGCCACCTTGGTGACGGATTTGAACAAGTCGACGTCGTTGGACCCACATCCACCACACAAGGCCACATATCGTCAGCATTTGAGCAAATCGAGGGCGAAGGCTGTCCACTCTGCCCCCCACCAGCACCCACCCCACTCGTGAACCCAGCAAAACCGGAACCAGTGGCTTCATCCCAAGCAAGAGATGGGAAAAACGGAAAAGAGAAAGCAAAAGCCACGTCAAGGAACAAATCTGAAAAAGGACAAAGGAAGAACAACAAGGGGGCAAAAGGCGACCAAGCAGCAAAAGGACGTAAGGGTTCACCTAGCGACCAAGCAGCAACAGGACGTAAGGGCTCACCTGACGGCCAAGAAGCAAAAGGACAAAAGGGCTCACCTGGCGACCAAACCCCAGAAGGACGTAAGGGCTCACCTGACGACCAAAAAACAGGACGTAAGGGTTCACCTGAAGGAAAGGCGTCAACGCCAACCAACCCGTCAAACCAGGCACAACAGGAGCCTAACGAACGCACAGGTGGCAGTCCGACGGGTGTGAATACAGAAGGATATTACCGAGCTCCGTTGCCAGAGGGTTTTCCCGAGCCTAAAGGGGGGAACAAAGCGTTCAAGGAAGCTCGAAAGAAGGAAGGCAGCGTCAAGGGGGTGAAAGGTATGAAAGGCATCGCGAGGAAGGGGCCTCGACCCCCTCAACCAGTGGTCGAGTATCCGTTGCATGTGGATTATGAGGAAGCTTCTGCCCGAGCAGCTTCAATAGCTGCAACGCTCCAGGGGCGGACACGGGGCAAGCCGCCGAGACCACGGCCAAGAAGTGTCTACCCACCGAAGAAAGAAAGAGCCGTTGCCTATGACGAAGTAATAAGGGTATCCGGGAAGCTAAAGAAGTCGGGCGGCGACAAGGGAACGACGGGCAAGAAAGGAGCCAAACGTTAGATCAATGGTGATCAGGGTGGTCGAAGTGACATCCGGGGACGAACGTTCACATGACGGGTTGATGGTGGGCTAGTCCACTCGCGGCACTTGTATCATACTGTAGGGAACTAGTGCACGAGGAAGCCTGAAGGTTTGAAAGAAACACGACAAGAGTGGTCGCTAATAATTGTGTGGGAGAAACAGCGTCAACTGAAGGGAAACGGGCAATGGAGCCAAGCCGTCGAAGTCTCTGTCTCTACTAGTACCTGCCTTTTGGATACCACAGGGAATATTGGGACAACTAAAAAAGTACTGGTGCAAAGGGAAGTACCTGCTCTGCCGTACTGGTATGCACCAACGTGCTAAATTCCGCAAGGTAACAACATAGATAGTGGCTGTTTGTTGCAGTTCCATTGCTTGGGGAGCCCAGAGAATGTATCTTCTTCTGCGATGATTGCTCGTTCATGGTTGAGCAGTTAGTTGAGCAGCCACTAGTTTGTCTGAGTCCCTTACCAAGAGTACGAAGAGTACCAAGAGTCAGCCCTCTGGTTTTTTTTTTAGCATGTTTGGATCATTCAACCAACAACGCCTCCTATCAACCGTTCGATATGCTAGTTGCAAACATTCGCATCTACGAAAGGCAAACGTTGTCTAATGCAGTTACAAGATACTCTGTCCAGTATGTTGACTTATGACATGGGTTCTATATACGGTACTGTACCTCGCATACACTACTTCTAGCTAGCTGGTGACAGGCTTTAGTGTTTATTCGCTGTTCTTGTAAATCATCTTGCTGGACACTCCATACATACACTTATTTTGGTGCAGTACATGTAGATCTGCCTACATTCCCTTGGACCATTTGGCGGCAGTATTTTTGGACCAGGTCCCAATGGCCTTGCTTTCCAAGACGAGCTTTTTCAACAAAAAGGCAGTCCCAACCACAATACCCAAATAGGCATAGAAAAAGTTTGCTCCATAGAGTTTGTTGAGAGTTCCACCAAACAATTTGGTGGCAATAATTTTCTTGTAGCAGATTTGTCCAATGGGTCCATGCACCAAAAACATGGGGAATGCCAAGGATCCCAGATTGGTCAATGCTCCGCTGGACAAGAAGGACACAATGAGATCTTTGCTCTTGGATGTGCCCGTGGCTTCGGCCACAGCGGCCCGATGACAGGACATCATGAATCGCACAAAGAGAGGCAAGAACAAGAGACAACGGGTCAACATGTCATTCAATTGCAAGACTTCCGTGGCACGCAATGCCAAAATGGCAATCATGCCCACCAAGGGCAAGAGACTGGACATGGTATTGGTTTGAGGGACCTTATCCTTGTCTTCATCGACCCCATCGAGCATGACCACACGGCACGCAGCGGCACCCAACAAGACTTCGACTGTATTAAAGAAGGGATTGAAGCGCTGGTTATTGAAAATGGCCATATTGGGAAACGCCTTGGGGGACGTGACACCTTCCATGACTCCCCAGACATTGTGATCATAGGAGTACCCAAGTTTTGGGATCAAACCGGCAGCGACCAAATAGAGCATGGTCCTCTTTAATTCCGACTTTTTCATTTTGGCCATGTGTGGCAAGGCAAAGGGAAGAGTGGCAGTGGCAAATGCCAATGCCGACAAGAACCACGAGGGAGCATTCCAGACTTCGGCATGCATGGGGAACCAAGCTTGCGTCATTGTGGCGCTCATGAGTCCATGAATTGCGGATTGGAACCATCCATTGTAGGTGACATCGGCGTAGAGGAATACGGGCGCAAAGATGGCCAAGACAATCATATGGAGGGGCCTGCATGTAGTAGTAGTAGTAAGCCAAAGCAGCGACTGTGAGAGGATGAAAATATAAAAGTTTATTGCCGAGTGCGGAACCGTTTGAAGGGTGCGATCAATCCAAGGAGGGTATTACCTACCAATAGCCAAAGACTTTGCTTAATGTCCACACAGCTGAGGGCTTGAGTTTCGGAGATGCCTCGTAGGCACCATTGGTAGTGGCCGTGTAAGCCGTGACGTAGCCACTCAAGACAAAAAAGGCCCCGACCACCACATTGACTTGTGCGAAAAAGTTCATGACAAATTTGGAAGGATCCACAAAGCGAATAAAGTGGCCAATGCAGATAAAGACAATCAAAAAGAATCTCATGGAATCAAACGCCGAAATACGGATACGCTTGGCCGGAGCAGGCGGAGCAGCAGCATCGCCTCCTGTCGTTTTGAGAGCGGTAGAGGAAGGCATGGCAGAAAACGTCTGCTGTTGTTGTTGTTGTGAATTTTTTGAAACAATGGGATGAGTAGCGGGGAACACCGAATCAGTCCGAGTAGAAGGACGAGTAGAAGTCAGAGACTTGGTGGTGTGGGGAGTAAAGGCGTTGGCTGAGGCGCTCGAAAGGACAATCAAGAAAACAATAGTGACCAGAGAGGTCAAAGAGATCAGACGTTGCATTGGGTGTTTTGTCTCTCACAAGCAAAAGCTATTGACTATTAGTCTAGTAGTCTATGTTGCCAGGGTTCCTATTTTCCAATTTTTAAAGGAGCGGAGGAGGAGGCTGGTGCTGCTTTTGTGGCAACAAATGCCAATGATGAGATGCATGGTGAGGTGTTCGGTATCTTTTGTTGACACGAAGCCTCCAAGCACTCTTCAAGGGTCTCTCTTGTCATTTTGTTAGTAAACTTGTTGGTTCGGATTGATGAGGATTATTATAATGCGAAGCCAGTGGAGTTGGGAGTATCTTCTGGGATCTTTGGAGAAGCAGGAAAGAAACTTGCTCACCAAAACCTGGATGAACGATCAGGACCAAGAGATCCTGCGAGCTTTGACAATAGAAAGGCTCCTGAGGGAAAACCTTTGTCCATCTTTACTAAGGTATGCATCCATAAAACTGCGTGATTTATAGCATTTAGTTGGTTTTCTTCCGCACCTCGTCGCCGCATCCATCCATGCAAGCAGCCAACCGCACCTCTTCCTTTAGTGATCTCAAACTTTGCCATCGTCACGATGATCTGTTTGGCCGCGAGTGGAAGTAGCTCTTTTAGGTACCGTACTCTCAGAAGCTCGCCCCGGTGCGAACACTGATGATGATGATGGAGTGCGTTGATGATGGCTCCATACGGAGGAAGCACGTGCTCTGGGTGGACGAGGAGTCTCGACAGTGGTAGTTGATGATGTAGTTTCAAGCGGCTCAGGGTCAACTGGAATTGTTGCAGATTGTCCCACCAAAGTATCAGGTTCCTCTCCACCATTGGTGCGAGAAGTGGAAACAGTCATTCCATTCGAATACTGGCCCTGCCAAGCATTCATACTTCCTGGTGCTGGAATAGCTGCAACCATAGGACCCGGCACTGGTTCAGGTACTGAGACAACCGTATAGGTGTAAGAATTCGAAAATCCAGGAGGAGCGGGCGATGGAATGGCTGTGATCCTCGACGCTTTGGCAGTGACCCCACCCAATGTATCTTGTGCTGGCCAAGTGTTGATGTTTCCAGAAATACTTGATCCTGGGATACCTGCCACCAAAGGGCCGGGCACTGATCCATGCCCCGAGTTGAGTGCATATGCATTGCTGTACCCTTCCAAATTGGAGGTGTAGGTATTGGTATATCCATAAGCCGCTGGCACTGGAGTCCCTCTGGTTGCTTTGGCAGTAACCCCTTCCATTGGCCAAGCATTGAAATTTCCAGAATAACCTGGTGCTGGAATGGGAGTTGCCCGTGTTGCTTTGGCCGTAACCCCAACACCTTCTGCTGCCCACGCATTCGTGTTTCCCAAAGAACCCGGTGCTGCAATACCAGCAGTGGCTGCAACCAATGGGCCAGGGACTGGAACAGGTCCTGGAACAAGGCTGCCGGTGTAAGTGTTGGTATATCCAGGGGGAGCTGGAGCAGGAAATGGTGTGGTTCGTGTTGCTTGTGCTGTGACCCCGCCCAGAGTATCTTGTGCTGGCCAAGTGTTAAGATTTCCAGAAATTTCTGGTGCTGAGATACCAGCAGCTGTCACCAATGGGCCAGGGATTGGCTCAGGTCCTGAGACTAGAGTATAAGTGTTGGTGTACCCATAAGTAGCTGGTGCTGGAGTAGGCGTGGCTCGTGTTGCTTGTGCCGTAACCCCACCCAAAGTCCCTTGTGCTGGCCATGTATTAATGTTTCGAGAAATGCCGGGTGCTCGAATGCCAGCGTCCATAAGATTTGGGACAGGTTCAGGTCCAGATGGTGTAGGAATGGGTTGATCAACGTATTCAAGCGGCCTCAAATAGAAAAGTTCGGAAGGTCCATTATAGGCGTTTCCGTGTAAACCTGGTCTGGGAATTGCCGCCAATGGACGTGGGGCTGGTGCAGGAACTGACACATAGGTATAGGTTTTGGTAAACCCAGGTGCTGGTAGAGCTGCCTCGAGAGGGCGAGGGACAGGTTCTGGTCCTGAGACAAGAGTATAGGTGTAAGCATTGGCATATCCAGGAGGAGCTGGTGCTGGAATACTTGTGGATCGTTTTACTGTGGCAGTAACCCCACCCCAAGGCCCTTCAGCAGGCCAAGTATTGATGTTTCCGGGCAGTGCTGGTGCTGGAATACCAGAAGCTGCAACAAATGGGCCAGGGACTGGTTCAGGTCCTGAGACTAGAGTGTAACTGTTGGTATATCCAGGTATGGCTGGTGCTGGAATCAGGACAGAACTTGTTGCTTGCCCTAAAGGTCCTTGGGCTGGCCAAGTGTTGATGTTTCCAGAAATTGCTGTAGCTGGTATACCAGCAGCTGCCATCAATGGACCAGGGACTGGTTCAGGAACTGAGACATGGGTATAAGTTTTGGTGTATACACCGGGTGTCCAAGGCCTTGAATAGGAGGCTTCAGAAGGATGTTGTGCTGAGCCGACTTGGGGCCATGTAGGCGCTGGAGATAGAGCATTTGTGCCTAGACTGGTCCTTGCGGAAGAAGAATCGTCCTCATCTGGTCCCGTATAGGCGCCAAGGGTAGACAAATCCATACCGTCAAGGGCGTCCAAGTGTCTCAACAGCCAAATGGCCAATTCAATCGCTGTTAATGGTTCGCGAGCATGAGGTGCCGGAGATCGGTAGCCCTTTGCAACAGTGACTGGGCCCTCATACCGAGACCTGTGAAGGGGTGACATTGTCACCCTGTGAAATGGCGTCATCGTTGGAGATGTTGACGGGGACGCTGATGGTGTTTGACTCGGAGTTGTGCTGGGATGCCACGATGGCTCTGAAGACAGGGTGGGTGATATCGAATGCGTTGGTGAACCCGAAGGGTTGACACTCGGATGTTGGGTTCGCCAAGGAGGCCAAGACACTCTATAGTTGGGTCTCTCCGTTGGAGTGATAGTCGGATCCGACGATGGGCCAGTGCTGATGCTGGGTACTGCCGACGGTCCTCTGGAGGGGCTAGTAGAGGGTATTGAAGAGGGATCAGAAAAAGGAAAAGAGGAGGGCCCAACCGATGGTGTAATGGACGGCAAAGATGAAGGGTCGTACGATGGGTGTTGCGACATTGTGGGTTGAATGGACGGCACGTCGGTGGGTGCGAACGTCCTCTCTGGTGGTCGAGAGACGATAGCACGAGTGATTGGTGGTTGAGTTGGAACGGATGAAGGGGTAATACTCGGAACAAGGGACACGGATGGTCGGTTAGAAGGGCTTTGAGATACGCTGGGATGATATGATACCGTTGGTTGCTCAGTTGGTTCCAAACTCGGAGAGCCAGAAGTGGATGGACGGTATGACACACTTGGTTGGTCGGAAGGTTGAAAACTTGGAGCAGCAGATGTGGACGGGGTGGCGCTGGGTGGATAAGACATGCTTGGTGGCAAGCTTGGGGAAACAGAAATTGATGGGAGATTGCTGGGGTGGTATGACAGGCTCGGTTCCTCAGAAGGCGCAGAGCTGTGAGAAGGACGGTACGACTCGCTTGGTCGTTCTGAGGGGGGCGAACTGGGCACACGTGAAGGTGTCTCCGAAGGACTCGACGGTGTCTTTGAAGGAGACTGAGAAGCTACGTCTGGCGTCGTTGAAGGATGCTGAGATTGTCGCACTTCAGGCTTTGGCCAAGGACGTGAAAGCGACGATGGCCCTCCTCGCAAAGAGCTGTCTGTTCCATCTGTTGATGGCGATGATGTCGCTGGTTGTGGTGTTGCATCCGGTGAATATGTAATGCGAGCCACAGTTGGAAGCCGGGTTGCCCGTGTCCCTATTTGGCGTCTCGTTGGATAATCGGTTGGACGTCGTGTCGATCGAGCCCGCCCCCCTACCTGTATTGGGCGTTTCGTTGGATAATCGGTTGGCCGCCGTGTCGACCGAGCCCCAATTGGAAGGGTCGTGGGCAGTTCTGTTGGAGGTCGAGTTGTCCGAGCCCCAATTGGAAGTGTCGTCGGCAATTTTGTTGGAGGTCGTGTAGTCCGAGCCCCAATGGGAAGGCTCGTTGGAACGTCGATTGGAGGTCGAGTTGCCCGAGCTTCGATTGGAAGGCTCGTTGGAACGTCGATTGGAGGTCGAGTTGCCCGAGCTTCGATTGGAAGGCTCGTTGGAACGTCGATTGGAGGTCGAGTTGCCCGAGCCGTAATCGGTAGATTCGTTGGAAACCCTGGAGGTCGAGTTGCTCGTGCTCTGATCGGGTGTTTCGTTGGAAATCCTGGAGGTCGAGTTGCTTGTGCCCTTACCGGAACTTTGGTTGGAAATGCGGTTGCTGATGGCCAAGGAGTTTCCGTGGGAAATGCAGTCGTGGTTGGCGTGTACGTAGGCCTGGACTCGGACACGGTCACAAGCTTTGATCTTGGAAAGAAAATTGATGTCTCAACCGGTGTTTCCTGGCTTGACGTTTGTTGTTCGGCTACAGCAGGAGATGTTTGCGAATCTGTTGATGAGTCTGATGAGTCTACTGAGTCCCATGAATCCAATGACACGCTTGCAGGTCTAGGGATAACCATTGGCGTGGTCGTTGGATGCCCAGTGGGCAACGGTGTTTCAATTGTTGGACCCTCTGATGGGCTGGAAGTGATGGTATGATCCCTCGACCCTTTCTTTTTGCCCTCTCCACTCCTCCCTAACCCACCGGCTTTGGCATGGTCGTCCTTCGATCCTTTCTGCTTCAATCGGCGTTCTTCATCATCATCGCCAGCAGAACTTGTCGTTCTTGCTGTGTGAACGAAGATGTTGCTTCTTCCTACAGAAAAGTAAGTAAGTTTACCCGAATCGGATGTTGGTGCACTTGTAGATGAATCATATGTGTTCCACAAGTGATATGGCAGATGGGTAGAGGGTGGGATGGAGTACGGATTCGGGGTTAATGGTGCTCTTGTTGAGCCAGTTGTGGGCCCAGCAGCCGTGGTTTCTGGAGTGGGAGATTCTGCCGAAGCAACAGAAGGGGTGCTCGGTTTATCTACCCCCGGCGGAGCTAGGTCAACTGCGGGGATCTCGTCTGCTTGTTTCTTTATGACCCAAGTACCTGTCTCGGCATCATACATAAAAGACTGCGGAAGATTCACGGAGGAAGACGGCATGGTTGAGGGCTCTTCTTTTGGGATTGTTGTGGGAGCTACAGTGACGAGATCTGGTGTTGGTGATTGAGTCAAAGCATCAACAGGAGTTTGACTTGGCAAAGCACTCAGCGCTGTCGGTATTTGAGTTGGGGGACTCTCTTCTGCATGCTTATTTGACACCCAAGACCCTTTTTTGGCATCATACATGAAATATTGCGGAAGATATGTGGAAGGAGAGATTCTGGTTGAAGTAGGCTCTTCTGTTGGAACTGTTGTTGGAGCGGTTGTGATGGGTTTCTCTTCGCTTTCAGAGAACTCGGGGCTTTCGGCACCATGATCCGCACTCGTTGGAATGGTTGTGGGATCTGGTGAGATAGGGCTGACTGTGGGGAATCGCGTCGAGAAGATTGTGGGATAGACGCTTGGTGAATCTGTTGGTGACAGGGTTGGATCGCTTGTGGGGCTCCCCTCTGCAACTTTGAACTCAGGCTGTTTCTTGGATTCGTTTTCAGGCTGTGGCTCGTTCGTCGGAAATCGTGTTAGCGCAGCAAAACGAACCATCGTTGGATATGCCGTGGGAAACTCCGAAGGAGATTCAGTTACCGGGCCGTCTGTGGGTAGCTGAGTTGGCTGGATTGATGGGTCCAAGGACGGCATCCCTGAAGTTGATCCAGTTGAAGGAACTCTTGTTGGCTCATTGGTCAAGTCTGTTGGAACAGGAGTAGGAAATCTCGTTGACGGGGGAGACGGGTCAGTAGCCGGCCCTGAAGTTGATCCTGTTGAAGGAGCTTCGGTTGGCTCATTGGTCAAGTCTGCTGGAACAGGAGACGGCAATCCCGTTGGCGGTGGAGACGGGTCGATAGTCGAGCTAGGGTGCCCTATGGGTCTCTCGGTTGCTGGCAGCTCAGCGACGGGCATGATCGAATCTAGTGTCAAACTCTCAGGCAATGATGTCGGCAGTGTCGTTGGTGATCGTGTCGGGTGAGACGTTTCCCTCTCCCCCTTTATTTTATTCTTGCCCCCCTTCTTCGATGCCGTGGGAGCTTCTGATGGAACACCCGAGGGACGTCTGATGGCGTCCTTGTTGGATCGTTTGATGGCCCGAAAGACGGTTTGATGTTGGATTGTCTGAAGGAGGCAACCGATGGATAGCTTGTTGGTTTATTGGAGGGCTCCAACGACGGAGCTTCTGATGGTTCTTCTGTTTCCCTTTCACCACCCG